CCCCACCATGGCAGAACTGTCCTCCTACTGTTCCTGGGTGCTGCAAACCCCACCAGGGAGAGGCTAATTTCCAATGGGGAGACAGCCCCATTTAAGCAAAGAAGAATAAACAGAAAGCTGAGGGAGTGACCTGGAGGGAAAGGTGAGGAACAGCCAGCTTGCAATCCTGTTCAAAGCTAGGGAGAGAGCTGGATAGACAGGGCAGGATGTATACTCACCGTGTAAAGCAGTATTTGTTTGCTAGCTCTACGATCCTCTTCAAGTACAGACAGGATAGAAACTCTGGCTATGGGCAGTGCACCAGAACCAAGGCCCAGAAGTGTATTTCAGGTCTGCTCCCTCCTGTCTTCTGGACACTTCACTTCTTTGCAGAGTTCTACCCACAACAGCTCTTCTTTGCTTCCCTGGTAGGACAGATCTTTCTTTCCCATTCACCTGAAAACCAACAGCTTTTTCTTGCCCTTCTCTGGTTCCCTGGTCTGGGGATGAAGCAGAGCCCACACACAGCTCCCCTGACAGCCAGGCTGCACTTAGGAGCTGAACCAGGATCTCACAGCAGAGCACTATGGGGGCCAGGATCAGGAGATGCTCTTGTCCCTTCAGGAAGGGAATACAATAGCTCCCACCCCTGCTCCCAGTAGCCTTTCCTAAGGCTGGCTCACTAACCTGCTTCCTTCCATTCTGCTGCTGAAATCTTGGTGGCGAGGTCTGCCTCAGCATGCTGGAATCCAAGGGCCTGAGATGGCAGGAGCAGCTCAAGCTGCGGGCATGGGGCTCTCTGCTCCTGGGTGGCAGCAGAGCTGCAAGCTGAGCTCACGCCCACTTGCAAGGGGAAGCCAAAGGCTTCCATGCTGTGGAGAGCTCACGCTGTGAGTGTGTCTGTGTCAGGAGAGATACCATGCACATCCTTTGGGGCATCCAGGTCTGAGGGTGCTCCCTGGATCCACAACCACCACCACTGTTTCTGAACAAGGCCACAACTCTGCAGCAGCTGGTCACAGCTGGAGGGATTTTCTGTGTAGCTAGCAGCCATCAAAACTAATTCCATGCCAGCACCAGGAGCCAGCCACACGATGAAATGGACTGTGCGCACCTTCTCTTCTACTTCCTTCAGCATCAGCCAAGGCAAGGGACTAAAACGTTTCCTTCACCAAACAAATTCATTTTCTCTTATTGCAAGGCTTCAAGCTTCAAATGCAGTGTATCCCACTACTCCCCCTTATCCATGCTTGATATATGTGATAAGCACAATTATTTTACCCATCTGTGATACCTTTGAATGGCTGAGAATTTTCTGCCCTCATTTTGGAGCCCACGTTCCCCCTACACAGGCAGGAAATACAGCTCTGCACATTCTTCCTCTTAATCTAAAATAAGTTCCACATTAAACCACACTTGATCTGTATTTGTGTGAGGGAGGAATCCACTGCAAGAGAAATTTAGGAGAAGGAGAAGAAGCAGAAGGAAAAGCAGCCTTCACTGCCATTCCCCACATCCCTTCGTGGGTTGCAGCATCTCTCTGAAATACCACACGCTTGATCAGAGAGGGATCTAGAGGGCTGCTGCTCCAGGCCTGAGGAGTTTCTGAACATCCAAATCCCTCAAGAGTTACAGGAATTTCCAGTATCTTCCAGTGCATGTTTAGATACCCAAAACCTTTCCAGCACCTTTTCAGCTCCCCTGAGCAGCCTCTGTGTAAATGCAGCTACCCACAAAGAATAACCGTGAGCGTATCCCTGAATCACAGGGATCAAATTCCTGCATCACAGGGCATGTCTCATGTAAACTGGGGAGAGGGGAAAAGGGCCTTAGCTGCAGACTCCTTTTCTCTGAGCACTTGGGGCTGGACTCCTTGATTGGATCCAGTAAGCTTTTTGCTTACTGGGAAATATAACAGTTGTCTTCAGGTTATTGAAATGCACTTTCCATAGCACACACTTTGTTTTTGAAGCACAGCAACTGTCGGCAGTGCTCCAGCTTTTAGTCACACCTGCTACACTCCTGCCTTTCAATCTCCTTCCTCTTGGAGCCTCCTCACATTCCCATTGCCTGCAAGAAGCATGCAGTGTGCCTTTGGCACAATCAGGAAAGGAAAGGAGAAATTAAAACGATGGCTACTCCAAAGCAAGTTACAATCCAGTCAATCTCTGGCAATCTTTGCATTAAATGCCTGCTCCTCTACTTTGCTACAAAAGCCACAGCATTCCCACCTTCTTGCTATGTCATTTTTATTGCTGGTAAGATTAGTGCACCTGAAAGCACAGCCCACCTCTGCCACCCAGGGACCTTGAATGCTCTGTGAACTGTCCCAAAGACAGAGTTCTGCCAAACACGCTACGGCCCTGGTCATGGCTGTGCTTTCAGCAATGACTGACACAAGCCTCCAGCCTTCCTCCGTCAAGGCTGAGAGCCAGAACCTCTTTTGAACAGGCCCTAATTCCATTGCAGGGAGTCAGTTTGCTCACATCCACCACAAACAGCTTGTTTCCAAATCCCCTTATTAACATGGAGATGTCAAAAATATTAATTCCTGTTTTGCAGAACTTCAATTAAAAACCCCACAAAAAAACCAGAACCTGTTTTCCTCATGTTGGCGAGGCAGGGGCTGTACCTCCTGTGGGCAGCCACTGATGTGTGGAGGAACAGGGAGCCCTCTCCCACCCCAGAATTAATGATGAAGAAACCAACGAGAAGAGCAGCTCTAGGAAAGGACATATCCCATCACTCTTGGGTGCTTTCCACAGAGATGTCTGAGGCAGGGATGCAGTCAAGAAGAACTCAAGGGTAAGCAGAGTTCACTTAGTAATTTAAGCAATGCAAAGTTTGCACTTTTCAGAATACAGCAAAATAAGAGCACATGACCCTGAGTTATTTATTGCAACACCTCTGAGTTAGCAAAAGGTGCCTTTGTTACTCCCACAAAATACCCTTTATAATTTTTCTTCCTTTGAAGTGCCAATACTAGAATAAACCCCAAAATCTGTATGTTGGTTCAAGGACCACAATGTATCCTGCAAATAGCAGGAAGGACTCACAGACCTGAGTACTCATGTGGATCTTTCTGCGTTTTGGCTGTGGAGAGAAGCTTGCAGTAAGAAGTGTTACTTAATACAGAAAAAGGGATGTTGTCTCAGTAACAGAAATACACTGCACTGGTTTGTTCAACAAACCACACATAGTGGCTGAACTCATGGTGACTGTCACCCCAACAGGCCACCTCAGACCCAGCTCAGGTGACTCACTACAGCAATTCCTCTTGCTTGGTCATTTCACCCATTCAAATCCATGCTTGGACTAGGTGGGTAAAAAATTGTACGCAGACTAGGCAAAAAACTGCAGAGTTGTCCTTGTGCATGAGGAAGAAGATGCCAGAATTAATGCATCCTTCACAGGCACACCAGCACCAAGGAGCACTGAGTGTCCAGGCAAGCCCCTGCCTTAGGCAAGACTTTCAGACATGGGCCACTTTCCTGGGAGCAAACCTCTCCTTACTGGATACAACAGGAGCTAGCTTCTGTCCCTCTAACAACCACAAAAAGTGACTGCATTGAAAAGATTCAAAACAGACTACTCCTATGGAAATCCATCATCTTATTTCCATAGAGATACACTAATATTACATTAAGTTCCAAGCAGAAAGACTGCCTACTATCTGGAGCTAAAAAAACCCTGTACTTGTTGCTGGAAACCGCTACCATCTTATGTCACTTGTGTGCCACGCACAGCAATGCACAACATGCATCAGCAACCATTTATCCTTTATTATCCACTTCTGACCCCAAGGGCAATTTCCATTTCTTATCCACTTCCTCTGCTTTAGAAGCAGCACAGACTGGGGGCAACAGGGCTAGGGCTGCCTTTCTTTCTCTGACATTAACTTCTGTGCAAGAGCAAAGCCTTGGGGCAGCGGGTACTCCAGCAGCAACCACTCTTCTTCACTAAGGACTGAAACAGCCTATACATCTTACAAGGAGGATGAAGTTAACCCTTAAATCAGTTAATTGAACCTTTAACAGGATCCATCCTTCACACTGTGAAAAGTAGCCAAGACAATGCAGAGGAAATCAGCAGTCTTCACATTTGGCAGTGTCTCTGACAGGAACAACAGGGAGCATCTTCAGAGAGAAAAGAAGTTACCTGGTGTTACCCAGAAGGTGGAGGTGCTGAAGAATGGCCATAGGCTTTTCAGAGCCAGTTCTGCAACTCCTGAAATGAAATCTTAAAGATGCAAACCATCCTGTATTTTCTTCTATCCTCAGACACAAGAGAACAAGTTAGAGAACTCTTCTTATTGGAGGAAGTTATTACCTCCTTCCCAGTTTTCCCAGCAGAAGAAAGTAATCTAGGGTTACTAGTGGAGGTTATTTGAACAGAGGTGAGCTTCCTAAGCCATGTTCCTGTTACTGCATTGCGTTAAAAATACACAGAGAACACTGAAATCAGTAATTTCTGTGTCCTTTGAAAGGAGACAGTCACTTAATTTAGATGCTGTGGTGCACAGACACGGCTCCGTGCTGGCTCTGCCAGGGAGATTACAGGGTAGTAGATTCCTGTGCAGCAGGGGATGACTGATGGGAAGCACCTCCTCACAGGTGGCTCAGGGCACATCTTGCTGGTTACACACAGAGCTGTTCACTGACTTCAGGTAAGCAAATGGGAGCTTTTTACTTCAGATTGATACATTCTGCTTTAACTTTATACACATTTGAAAGTGGAAGTGGTAGCGAGGGTGAAAGCCTTTTACATACAGCCAAATCCTTCTGAGAGGCAACGTTAAGCACGTAACACAACTCACTGAAGCAGAGGAACTGCGCTGGCAGTAAATGAGAGTGTCACAATGATTTGTTTGAGCTCCTGCAGAGACAATTTAACATCATTTTGGTGACAGTGTATCAAGAACACACAGGAATTCATTCTAGTGTCAGCATAACTTTTATTTACTTATTGCTGTCAATATGCACAGTAAAGGAAGACCTGATGTGGTTACCTCCTGCATACAATACTTCTGAAGAGTCAAGTATTGTGGCTTTCATGGTAATAGAACAAAAATGCTATATTCACAGGCCACAGGGTGATTTTTCCAACTGCCTGAATTACAGATGCATTCCCTAGCTCTCCTTTATTCTCTCCCTTCCAGCATCACCTAATATAGACCTTGTAACTGGGAAATAGCCAGAGATGATGTGGGAGCAGCATAAAGGAAAAAACATTTCTGTATTGCTTTATCAGAGCCCTTCAGCCTTGTAGGAGCAAGAATTCATTTGTGGCTTTCTAGCAGATAAACCACAGAAGGATCAGGTATGCTAAGGAAGGATGGAAACAATCTTCTCCTACTGTATCACCTGTTATCACAAAAACATCCTCCTTCAGAGCTAGATCCTCTGACTGGATGAAACATCCCAATGCCTGGCAGAAGGATACTAGTCAGTAACTGACTAAAATGGGAAGTACAGGCTGTGCTTTCAAAGCTTTTCCTCTGGTCACACTAGAGTGATTCCATCCAGGAGCACTGTCACAGGATGTTCCTCCACCCAGCATTAACCACTCTCCTCTGGTTGGTAAGTCAAAGCTTGCTTCCCAGTCTCATCCTTGACTTCTCCCTAGGAACAACACTAAATTTATAGGGAATTATGTAGGTGGCCAGAAGCCAAAGGCTGTGAGAAGACACTGTCACAGTCTGAATAGGACAGTAGCAAGCAACTACCTACGTGTCACTGGACATACATAATACCCGGGGGTCCTGATGCCATGAAAGGTAAAGTAAATCTGCAGTTTACCACCCCTTAACCCCTAACTGTACTTCTGCTGCTTACTTTATTCTCCTGCATATTTATTTCCCAATTAATATGCAGGAGAAAACAGGGTGTCACTCTGAGTGTGCTTATCCTGTGGTCTGTAAGCACCAGGCAGTGCTGTTCCTACAGCATGGGTAATTATTAGCCAACTGCTTGCTCAAAATAGGTGGGGGAGGCTGCAAGGGGCTCCACAACACAGTAACTCCTCTCCTGGACTCCTCTTCCACAGCTCTTACAGCTTGCCTGAAGTGGCAGTGGGTTTTGTTGCTGGACAGTCCTCACCCCCCTGCCCTCCAACTCATTTTACAGAGGTCTTGAGGAAGCCATCAAAACTGAGTCAAAGGCTTCTCCACACTGAGGAACAGATAGCCAATAGCTAACACCTTCCCTAGTTCTGACACAGCTAGATGTCCCAGTGCAAAAAATGTGCAAAGGTGGCCCTGGAATGTTCTGCCCACCATCAACACAACAGAATCCTCCCTCTAGCTTGTATCAATGCCATTGAGTTACCTATAAGCTCTTCTCTGTACATGATCCTCCTTGGACCCAAATCCACAGCATCCTCCTGTTGTCTTCACCTTGTGTTGTTGCTGTTTGCTTGAAATGATGTAGCATCAAGACAAAAAGTTTGGCCCTGTGTTTGATACTTTTGTCAGTGCTTGGGAGGCTGGGACTGCTGCAGTCTTCAGGAAATGTGCCCCACCGAAGTGCTGAGGGTGTGCAGCAAGCCAACTCCTAGAGGGGATCAGGCAGAACAGGGTGAGCTGTGTTCAGCTGAGGAGATTACACTAGCTGGAACACAGATGCTACAGGTTTCCTCAAAGCACTTGTGTTTGGCAGACAGACTAGACAGGGAAGGCAAGGAGAGGCACTTCCTAAGCTACGGTCTCTGGTTCACTTTACCACTGACTGTGGCATCTTGGCCAAACATGGCTTAATGTAAGCAGCTGAAGCAAACAGGTCTGGAGTGATCAGCAGAGAAGGTCTGCCAGGCTGCAGGGAGCACTCAAACTAAAGCAAAGCCAATAACTGAAGGGATTGCCTACACACAACTCTCCCCCACTTTCCCCACCAAATGCCAGATCTCCCTTCTGAGCCTCATGCCCAAGGCTGTAACTTTTGCAGAGCTGAATGGCAGGCTGATCTCAGAAGCCCCCTCCCAGGAAGCATCACTTTTTGTCCCCTGAAGCAGAATCCTTTTGTGACCTCATGATTTGATAGATAGTTTTCCTAAAGCGCTGGTCCCGGCTCAGTCTTTTGGCTGCTTCTTTCAGCTCTTCAATGTTTTCAGCTTCTGCATGTGAGAAGATGAAGGACTGTGACTGTTTCACTGAAACAAGAACAGCACAGAAAGATAAGCACTCTCCACCAGGGACACAAACTGAAGATAAAGCTTCACGAGAGTTCACGAGGCATGTGACCAACATGACTGAGCCTAACTCAGTCTGTGATTAGGCATTCTGATGAAGCCATATTTAAGTATGTTTTTTAGGGGTCCAGGACCGTCACAGAAGTTTAGCTTTCAACATCTATAAAGAAATGGGCAGCAAGTACACAGGCTCAGTGCCTGCACTCTGAGAAAGGAAGCTACAAGTAGCACTGTGGCTCCATTCTGCTGCTAAGGAACATGAAATACAAACAGCATTTGCAGACTTTACTGCTCTGCCAGCCCCACTGGCACATATCTGCTCCTGCAGGATATAAGGCAGGAGGCTGCCCGACACCTACTGTCATTCCAGGAAGTGCTGGTTCTCCGGCAGCGGAAGCGGCAGCTCTTTATGCGGCGAGTGGCAGCCTTGTGGATGTACACGGAGTTCTTCATGATCACAGGCATCTTGGCCTCCAGCTCAGCGTTGCGGATGCACTCTTCAAAGAACTCTGGGAAGAGAACACCACTGTTACAGTGACAGACACTCCAAGCAAGGAACCAGTCACAAAGGACTGCACTCGTTGATGGGCTGAGCCAGGTAATGAAGACCTTCATGAACAACAATCCATAAAGCTCCAGAATATCATCAGAAAGAACATTTTCAAATGTTCATTTTTAAAGTGAAAAAACCTCCAGTTCCTAACAAATGCGTACTCAAATTTAGAAAGAACTGCAGCCATCCATTCCACATCAGCAATTCTCACAACTGCTCACGACTCAACTGCCAAAAAGTCTTTGGTACTGTGATAAAACTTCTCAATTCTGAAGCCTTGCTCATCATACTTTCTTTGAAGGACTTCTAAAACCAGTCAGGTCTAACTGGAAAAGGAAGGTGTTGGCAACACCAGCACAGGCAAACATGGTAGGGGATTTCTTAATAGCATAGCAAATACTAGCACATACTTACATATATTATGGGCTCCAAGAAAAGCCCCATGACAAAACTCTGATGTTATTCTGCCCTCATCTGCCACACAAACTGCTTTTCCTGGCCCATTTCCCCTCTCATGGTCTGACCAATGTCTATTCTGCCATTCCAGTCTTGCTGTCCTCCTGGCTGTTGCTGGTCCTTTGCTGTTCAAAAGCATCGTGTGCTAATGTGCCCAAACTCTTCTTTAAAGGGCAGGGCAGAGCTGCAGGAACCACTTGGAAGGACTGAGGTAATCTGTACTGGGACTAATGTTATGGGAAACATTGCTGGTCCCTTATTTTCTCTAGTGCTGTGCTCATCAGTACATTTTTACTCTTTTGAAAAAAACATCCCCCAAAATCTAAGGTTGGAAATATCAGGAGACATTCAGTACCAGTTACTCATTTATGCCCTGTGATGCTCTACTTGAATGCTGAGCTCAATACATCCACATTTGCTGTTTTCTTACCATGGCTCTGAGCCAATGGGATGAAGTTCAGAATCATGACTGTTTTTCTCCATTTAGAAATCTTATGTAGAAACTACTGAATAATGCTTTTTTTCATTTAAATATATATAAATTATAAGTATGTGAATAGATATAAAACTATTTATAAATTTATTTTCCCTATTTACCTAACAGTGCTCAGAATACCACAGGACTTTTTGACTTTTCTGTATTGACCTAGTACATCCACCTTTCACGGAAATGAAGCCTTAACTGTACAGACCCAGCACCTTAATAAACACTTCTCCCTGCACTATAACTTGAGCATGAAAAACAAGGAAGATTTGACTCAATTGAAGCTGCTTATGTCAGTTCCCAAGCCTGACTCAAGCCAAATGCCAGGGTAATGCCCCCCAAGAGAACCCAAAAAGACCCAACCCCAACCAACCAAGAAAAGGCAAAGAAACAGGGACAACTTGTGAGGAACTCAGTCTTACACCTGACCCATGCACTGCAGTGCTGAGCTGATGCTGTGATTCAGCTCTGAGTAAAGATCCAAACTTCACCTTCTGGGTCACCCACCAGCACGTTGCTACAGCAACCATGGACCTCCTTAAACTGGTGATATTCTTTTAACCAAGGCTGAGAAATAAAGCCTTCAGGGGAATCAGAGGACTCCTTATAACTCAGACCTAGTCAGCAGTCAGTTTTGATAGTTCTGCCACAGCTTCCCTGTTTGACATTTTGGAAAATATTTGCTCATCTCTAGGTCTGCCTTCCACCCAATAGAGAAGGCTGGAATAATTTCATGCTCCTTCGAGAGGCTGGAATAATTTCAGCCTCCGTTGGAGGCAAAACACCAACTACCTGCATAGCATGTTATGGCTCCTCAAAGGGGAGGTGTGGTGGAGGTACAGAAGAGAGAGACCACATTTATCTGCAGCTTTCCTAATTTGGAATCTTCTTTGTGTGGCTAGGAAGATATGTAGAAATATTTCCACTCTTGAGTTTGCTCATCAGTAGAGAGCATGGATGACTAACTTACTTCTCAAGTTACTGACATCTGCTTTCATCTTCTTCTCTTTCTCCTTGTTGCAATTCAGAGAATTTAAGCCTTGCTCCAAGCTCTGCAAGGCTTCCTCAGCCTCTCTCAGTCTCTTCTCCAGATCCATGCGTACCTTCACTTCAGCCTGAGGAAGAAAATAAGAATTGCTGGAAAACCACTTATTTCTCAGTAAACATCCTGGTAACTCTCAAGGTCTGTGAGGGACTTGCCATGCATGAAAATGAAAAGACAACAGTGATGGAAATCCTTAGAAATATTGCAACGCAATATAAAGGCATTTCTCACTCTTCAGACAGAATCTGAAGTCCAGACTATTGCAGTAATTTTCCTTTAACTTCATTTTTCACAGTTTTCCTCACATTGCATAAACCATATGGAATCAGAGATGGTATTTCAACACATGAATTTGTGCTAATGCAAGCACTTGCAGCTTAGCAGGAACAGAAGGACAACAATCCAGCTGAGACAGACTTGAGATAAAGGCAGTCAATGCCCACAAAGGGATGCACAGTGCTCAGTTTCAGAAACAAAACACAAGTTAGAAATACTGTACTAGTTTAGCAAATTAGAAAGGTTACACAGCTTAGGTCAACTTAGCTTTAGTCTGGCCAAGTAGAAGGTTACAAGAAAATATTGGAGGTGCAAGAAAAAATAACTCAGGGGTTTTTTTTGACAAATATTTGTATAAGAAGTTTGAGTGTCAAACAGCCAATTATTAACTTAACCTTTACATTGTTTAGATTTAAATAAAATACCATATTTGTCCAGTTACCTTGGCATAGATTAATGTATTGTCTGTTACAAAGGAGGCATGGTCCTTCAGCTGAATTCCTCTGCTTTTGAACCCAAGTTCTTGCAGAGGTTTCTGAAGATTTAAAAGTCTTAAGGTTGGTTTTCTGAGCACAAGTGAGGAGGGAAGATGTCTGCTCAGTTCTGCAGCATCCATATTGGCATTTATTTGAAATTATCTTTATTCTTGATTGTTTCTACTTTCCTCTTTTACTTTTTTTCCTTCCCTCCATAGATTATGCTTTCACAGTAGGAAATGAAAAGACTTGCACGGAATGGATTAATCAGGCTTCAGGATACGAAAATAAACAGTAGTACTACATAGATATAAGATAGCAATTTCATGTGTTACTATGACATCATAGTGCTTTGGGTAGGAAGAGACCTTAAAGACAATCTCATTCCAACCCCTTGGCCATGAGGAAGGATAATTTTCACTAGACCAGGTTTCTCAGAGCTCCATCCAACCTGGTTCTAAACACTTCCAGGATGGAATATCCACAACATCTCTGAGAAACTTGTTTCAATGTCTCACCACTTTCACAGTAAAGAATTTCTTTCTAATATCTAATCTAAGTCTCTCCTTTTTCAGTTTGAAGCCAATCTCACCTGTCCTGTCACGACATGTCCTTGTAAAAATTCCTATAAGGTTTCCATCTCAGACCCTTCTCTTCCCCAGGCCAAAGAGCCCCAACTCTCTCATCCTGTCTTTGCAGGAGAGGTGCTCCAGCCCTCCAAGCACCTTGGTGGTCCTCCTCTGGACTCACTCCAACAGGTCAATGTCCTTCCAGAGCTGGATTAAGCACTGCAGGTGGGGTCTCACCAGCGTGGAGCAGAGGGACAGAATCACCTCCCTTGCACTGCCTGCTACTCTGCTTTGGATGCAGGCCAGGATACAGTTGGCAATATGAAGCACAGCTAATGAAGATTTATGACCAAAATGTGAAAACTAAATAAAACCAAGAGTTTGGCTTGATAGGGAATGAACTGAAAGAGAAAACAGAAGCACTCTGAGCCCAGGGACAGCAATATGTGACGTATGCAGGGGATACCTTGAGGTCTCTCTCTGCCTGCTGTTTCTCTGCAGTCAGCTCCGAGAGCGAGTTCTGCAGCGCTTGCGACTGGGAAGAGTAAAACTCCCGCTCCTCCTCCAGTGCTCGAGACCGCTCCTCATTCTCCTTCATCCTGGTGCATGGCACAGCAAACAAAGATGACCATTCCCACCCCAAAACAGCCCACAGGAAGGAAAGGAGCTCAGTATCATGATGGGACTTGCTCAGCTACCTGACTGCCCAGAGCAAAGAGACACTAACAGGAGCACTATGTGCTCCATTCCAACAACACAGGCATTGCTGGAGAAAGCAGGTGGACAGTTCTTGAATGGAACATTCTCAACTCCCAGATGAGGCCCAGGAGCACCAAACACTCCTTTACGGACAGGCCAAGAACACCTTCACATGCCCAAGTCCTGGTTTGAAAGGAGCAGACCCAACTGGGACCAAGCTCAGCTGCCCTGCCTCACTCGGTCTCCTTTGAAGGATTTGTAAGCTGAACTCCTGCCATTGGAACCAGACAAGCTTCCAGACTTGTCCAGTGCTGGCAACCAAAAAGCAAGTCAGCAGACACTCACGTCATTCAGCACCACTAAGCCTGAGCAGAAGTGTTCTCTTTCCCCACTTCACCTTTTCTCTGCCAGGAGTTTCTCCTGCAGAAGTTGCTGCATCTTCTCTTCAATCTGTCGCAGGCTGCAGTGCAGTCCCCAGATGGGGCTTTGCTCCTTGCTGGGGCTGGTTGGAGGTGGGACCTGGCTCTCATTTTCTTCCAGCATCTCCAGCATTTGCTGTTTTTCCAGGGAAAGCTCCTTGAAGAAGGACAAGTGATTGTGAGTATCAGCCAAGTGCAATGTTTCTGCTCCTGTTCCTGCCTGGTTCTTCCTTACTGAGTGCCTCCATCATTACATCCACATGCCTCATTCTGGTAAACACAGGAGTAACAAAATTTGGGTTTCATTTCACACCTACTTCACGGGGAGCAAGCCTCCAACATAGCCTTTGCTACGAAGGGGTGAACCAGCAGGCTCCTTTGATGTGATATGCCAGTAAGGATGCAGTTCAGGCACTGGAACTTGTGCTTCCCTGGTGCATCAGAGATGCAGGCAGCTTCCCTGCCTTCCCTGTTCTGCTTGCTCCTTAGTGGGAACTGGAGGCACTCTCTCTGAGGTACTTTTAACTGTGGGCAATGGGACACATCATGCTGTTTGTCTCTGAAGTGTTCAGTGTGCAATTAGGGCAGGAATGGTACTTCCATAGCTTTCCAGTTCTTTTTGTCATAACTGTGGGCAAGGAGAAGAGCCCAAAGGAACAGATTTTTGGACAAATTTGCAGGATCTGACACAAACATTAAAGATGACCTTGCAGATTCAGAATGCCAACTGTGTGGAAATTTCACAAAAAATATACTTTTAGAAAAGTCACTTTCCACAAATCCACCAGTAAGGAAAGATTTTAATACATGAAAACTCTGTTTCCTAGATTCCCATGTGGTACATGAATTCCTTGGGAATCATGCTCCCTTCTGTGAAGACAGAATGCCCCTCTGCTGCTTCAAATTCCACCAGAAGGTAGGGAGGTGCAGTTAAAACAAACAAAAAAAGCTCATCACAGACTTACAGTCACACTGGCTGGAAGGGACCTTCCATTAGGCTCCTTCCCAGCTTGCTGTTCAGAGCCAGTATGGCAGCACAGCAGGATATGGTCAGCTGTGGCTGTTTACAGTCTGACAACAGTCCATGATGAAGGTTCCTCAGCCTCTCTGACTGCCTGCCTGCCCATCTGGTGAAAATTCTCTCCCTACTGTTCCACCCAATCTTCCTAAACCACAGCTTATCATGGTTTTTGTCCTACCAGATCACCTGGTACTGCTGAGAAAATCTTGGTTCAGTTGTTCTCTGTGTCATTTCTCATCCTTTTCTGCAGGGGATTTTGATGTTCATATCAGCTACCAAATGAACCTGTTTATCTGTACAGCACTTCAACTCTGGCATTAGCAGATGTTGGATTCATTCCATGGGACAGCATTGCTTTCAGGCCCAAATGCTGTCACTCAGAAGGGAGGAGCGGTCACTCACCTCTAGGGTGTTCTGTAAGGACTCTGTCAGGCTTCGCAACTCCTTCTTCTCTTCCTCCACTCCTTTAAGGGAGCGGGCTGTGAGCTCCAGCTCCCTAAAGAAGCAAAAGAAGTTTCAGCTATTGCAGGGGAAGAGTAGCCCCGTAGACCGTGCCCAGGCTGTGCAGGCTGTGGGTATCCTGGTGCAGGACCTGCAACCATCAGTTGGTATAGCCAGTCCTGGAGAGCCAGGAGTTTGCCAGGAAGCATCACATCCTGCCTTGGACACACTACAGGTGTTCAGGAATTCTACTGTGCCTCCTGATCATCAAACCCAACCCAACAGTCACTGTGCTTCTCCAGCAAGGGTAGAGCCATGGTTGCAACTGAAAGAGCTCAGACAGGGAGTCACATCTAAGCAGAGCCTGTGAGAACAAAAATGGTTTGCAAAATCACACTGGCCTTTCTGAGATGTTACTCAGGGGGAAAAAAAGAAAAAAGAAAAAAAAAAAAAAGAGAGGGAAAGCAAAAAATGCCCTTTCAACACTTGGGGCAAAGCACTTGGATCCTTCTATTTCTAAGTACATTTGCTGCTAATATTTTGCACAGTTAACTTTAAAAATGACAAAGCTAATCTTGGTGATCTTACTAATCTATGTATCATCATGCATCCAGTGTCATTCAGCTGATGGTGGAAAACCAGATCCAGGTGTCTGGACTCCACAGAGCTGTTCAGGCAGCTGAACTAATTGCCTCTCTGAAATCTTCTCTTGCATCTGTCCCTTGCCATGCTACCCCAACTAATGTGAGGGTTGCTTGTGTCCCAGCACTTTGAAATTAATTTGCTGGAGGCCTGAGTGCAAAATGAAGCTAAGCTGTGTTCTATCGGCCACAAGCAATAGCAAATGCAGGTAAAGAGTCCACAACCATTCCTGCTTTGGTCAAGGCACCATCTCCTTCCTACATGCACAAACCAGGTGGATTTTACAGACTGTCTGGATTCATCACCACAGTGTGCTTTTGCCCGGTGTGCGAGCTGTGTCCCTTCCCTGCCCTGTGGCCATACCGTCTGATCTCCTCCTGCTCCAGCCGCAGCTCCCGCACCACCTCCTCAAAACGCTGCTTCTCTGCTTCCAGGATCTGGTTCAGACGCTCGAGTTCCTGCTCCAAAAGAGAAGACAGGAATGTACTCTGCCAACACAGACAGGAGAGGCTCCTCTGTTAACAGCACCTGGGACTTTTAACATGGCATTTAACCCAAGCTGTGCAGAGCTTCAGGGTGTCTGACTCCACCACATTTTTGTCCAGGGGCAATTAGAAGGATTTCAAACATCCAAAAGCCCCAGCCAGGTCACCAAGCATCTGGAAATCTCAGACATGCTCCTTGCAGAGGTCAGCTCTGCAACATATATACAAAAGTTCCAAAGCTCTCTGGGAATGCTGGACTTATTTTTATGTACCATTTTCAGGCACCCACCCATACAGACACAGAAAAGCCAGACAGCCTCAGAATGTAGCAGCTCCAAGATTTCTGTGCCTGAAGTGTGATACTTCTACCAGCCCAGCCTTTCTTCCCACCCCAGCTGGGGCAGGAAAACACAAACCATTCAGTTACAGCTTTGCACAGCTTAATCAGCCTGTCACTATCTTTGTGGTGATAAAACCAAAACTCAGTAAGGGCCCCTCTCCTGGTCAGGTCCCCTTGCAGCCATAGTTGCTGTGCAGGGCTCCTGCTACAGGCCCCTGCCAATCACAGAACAGTGTTGGCACTGGATAAATTCATAATAAGACTTGCTCCGTGGTGCAGGTACACAGTTGGAGCTGCTTTCCCAACATACTGCTCTGAAGCCTTCAGGCTCCCACAGGGTAAAACCACAAAGTTCAGCGAGATCTACATTCAGTCCTTCACAGCACCAAACTCCTTCAAATTAACCCAGCCCTATCTGCTCTTTGTGGGCAATGGAGTTACTGTGCATGGCTTTGGAAGAGCAGAGATTTGTTCCAAGATCTTCATACAAGGTCATTTCCTCCACTGTGGCTGTGGGCTGTGCAGCAGGCTACCTCACCATCTCACCAGAGGGAGATGTCCCTCTGCAAAGGCAAAAGGAGCTTAGCCCTAAGCAAGTGTCCAAGCCACTTTTGAATTTTACCTCTCCAGAAATGTATGCAAGAAAGATATAGGCCTGAGAAGCCTAGGTGAGCATTGCCATCTTTTCCTAAAGAGAGGCAGCAGTCATTTTGGATTAACTGAAAAAGAGCATGAGGCACTTTGCAACGTTGTGACATGGTGGTCCATATCCATGCAGACTTGCCAACTGTGTAATAGGACAATCCATTTGCACAGCTATCTTGCCATGACTTTATGATGGTGCTATAAAAATCAGTATAGATTTGGATTGGTAAATATAAGGATGTGCTACTTTTATTATATTAAGCAATTACAAGCTAGGAATAGTTTGAAAAGCAATTATAAACTTGATAAAGCAACCTGGCCTAGTGGATGTCCCTCCCTGGCCATGGCAGGAGAGTTGGTATGAGATGATCTTTAAGGTCCTTTCCAACCCAAGCAATTCTATTCTAAGGTAAATTAAGGTATAACAGTCACATCTAAGGGAGTGCTCTCTTGATTTTTCCCTAGTGCAACATTTTTTATTCTCCCCATTTCTGCTGTGTCCAAAGAACTAACCACATTGTTTTTTGTGCTCCTTATTTCTCACAACAGTACCTTTATGCTAAAACAATGTTTGTTTACTTGCTTTCTAATTGTGGAGATGGCCACATTAATTGCCATAATCTTCTTGAATCTGCCAAATAACAATTGTGTAATTAAATCCAGTGAGTATAATTTTCATTTCATCTTCCTCCCTGGTCCTCCCTGGAGCCATAATGACAAACGTGCTGCATGGAAAGTAACAGGGAAAGGGGGCAGGGATACACCTCCATGACCCATCTCATGGCACAGGTCTTATTCCTCTCTTCATCCACAGGACCCAGAGGCTGGCTGGAGAATCTTGTGCCTCCACAAGCCTCTCTCCCTGAACACTGACATGCCTTCAAACCAACAGCTCCCAGCACTGCCACATGGCAGCTGAAGAAAATTGGCTTGTGACGAACTCACCTCTTTTTGCTCCCTCTGCAGACATAGCTCTTCTGTTTCTTCCATTAGTTTATCTGCAAGCACACAAAAAAAGCCCAAGCAGAGAGAAAAGCATTTTATATCCTCGGGATATTTACAAGCAAGAAACACTGACTTTTTGAAACTTGAAAATGCAGCATTCCCTATTCCTTTGTGTGTATCTGTCTGGGAGGCTCCAAAGGCTGAGATGGCACTAATGGGATGTTCTGCAACTTCCCTCCTGCCAAGTAACTTAATCAACTAAACAAGCATATTGCTTTGCACTCCTTCTAAGGTTTCCTCTCAATGTTCTTAAAGAGCATTAATGAACCATTCTTCACCAACCTCCAGATGAGTCAGGAAAATATTCTTATCTTGCTTCACAGATAAGGAACAATGCATAGAAAGGGCAAGTGAGTGCAGAGGGTCACAACACATGTAGCAGCAGTCAGTTTTCCTGCACTCACCTGCCTAGCCCATCATCCTCTCCTTAGCCCTCTTGGGCAGCACTGCCAACTTCCTGTTTATCACCTTGGGATGTCCCAGCCAAGCCCAGAAATCAATCCCTAACTTAGCCACAAAACTTCTGCTGTACAGAGCAGATCCCCTCAACAGCAGTTGCTCTTGCCCACTGAACACACACACGCCCAGCAGAGGCTGTGCTCTGTCCTCACCCTGCAGCCTGGTCACCTCTGCTGTGCCAGCTCCAAGCTCAGCGGCTCTGCCACGGGCAGCTCTTAGCCACGCTTACAGGAACCCAGAGAGAAACACTTCTCGTGGTCAAGCCTCGGGTTTAGCTCTCAGCTCTGCCACCTGGCTGCCGCGGGAGCAGGGCAGATTGACTGGAGCACTTCTGTCTTCCTCTTGAGAGGTGAGTGGGGTGCTACTGGTTTCCCTGGTACTGAGAACCTGACAAGGTTTCTGCTGCTGGCAGCATTACTACTTCTAGGAGGAATGCAGACCTCTGCCTCCTGCCCAGAGCAGGGCTCCTGGTGCCAGAGAAATAGGGTTACATTACCCAAGCTCTGCTGAGCACCACTGATGCCTTTCTTTCCCACTCTCTCCCTCTTCCCCCTGGCCAGAGCTTAGCACAAATGCACTGTAATTACAGAGGCTCTCCCACCCTCCCTCTTCTGCCCCTCCTGGGGGGCCCAAGCCCTGGACCTGATGGCTTCTGTAATATCCATGTCTGAGAGTGAAACCTGGATCCCAGCTGGGTGGAAGATATCTCAGTGTGGATTCAAGAAATTCCTCAGAGCAGTGTTTGTCCAGAGAACCTTGACCTGCTTTCAGGAACAGTGCCTGACCTCAAAGCTTGACTACAGGATGGACACAGATCATTGAAGGTAAGGTTAATGAGGCAGAAGGCTTTAGCACTTATATAGAAATAGACAGTTCATATCAAAAGAAAGTAACCAACTGTGACAATTTACCAGCTCTGAATGTTCTTGTCATGGACCAAAGAACCCAGTGAAACATATATTTTATATTCCAAATATCTCCTGTTTGCCACAGAACGTGTATTCCTCTATTTCTCCACCACCTTTTCTTTTATCATACTAAAGAGTTCTTTAGTCTTTAAAGCCCTTTCATTTGCTCTGCTGGTTGAAAAATAATGTTTTGATTAAACTTTTCTGTTTCTAGTTTTCCTCCTCTTTCTGTCCCTTCAGGTCCTCCTCTCAGTAGCCCCCGTTATTCCTTTGTCAAGTGTGGAACCACTTCTCCCTGCCTGCCTCACGTATGAGCTTGAAGCTTGAAAACGCAGCATTTCCTATTCCTTTGTGAGGGGTCACACGGGTGAATGGTGCTCAGATGGACAGAGTAAACATGCCTTGATACTTGAGCTATGATCAGTCATTTGTGAGACCATATACCAAGATCAGCCCTGATCAGCATGGATGCTGAAATGCAAAAGGCTCCTTAAGAGTCCTCCAGTGCCTTGACAATTAGGAGTAGATAGCATGAGCCCCTGCTCAAGGCATCACCAGCCTGATGCACCCAAATTTCTGCTATCTTATTTAAAGCAGATAACTCTCCAGACAAGTCACTGGGCCCACACTTGTGACCTGCAGCCCCCAGGTCAGAAGGTCTCTTAGACCTGGAGAATGCTTTAACTTGGAGGTCATCTGGGTTAAAAGGGCTACTCTCCCTTGGCTCTTCCTATAGGCAATGAGGGAAAGAGATAACTGGACTTCCCAAGGCAGTCAGAGCATCCAAGGTATCAGGCCATGCAGAGGCTAGCTCCTAAATAGGGAATTGAATTACATAATCTACCTCTCTTCATACCTAGATTATTTCACATTCATCTGTTCTTTCTCCACTGTCTACAGACAGCACTGACAAATTAACCACTGCCATTAAATACCTCAAACAAGCCCATGTAAATGCTCCCACTTCCAATATGAACAGTGTCAGCAAACACAAAGGTCAAGTAGAGTAAGACCAAAAAAAGCACCAGCTAGGTGAAGAAAACTCATATATGAAAATCTGTGACCAACCTCAGAAGTATCAGATCTGTCTGATTGAGGGAGACAAAGGTATTGTCTGTTTGCTTGTGAGCAGCTGAAACCAGCATATCCAAACCTCTCAGGGGTGGCAAAAGTTTGTACAGATGAGCCATGGAGGACTGCAGAATGTTGGACAAAGCATGTTCCTCCTTCACACTCCACACAGACGTCCAGATCCCACCTTAACTTTTGCATGCTTTGACTCCCTTGAGACCCGAATTTCAGCTGCTGTCTGCTCAAAAACTTCATCCAGAGAAAACCTGTAGCTGCTTGTCTTGACCACACTGACTACTCCAGGAAAAGCAAAATTACTATTTTGGCCTTTATGTCTTTTCAAAGTAAGAGTTTCCTACCTAAATATTCCTGTTTCTCCTTGGCCAGCTGTAGTCCTTGAGCTTCCAGGCTCTCAATCATGGCTTCTCCCAGTTGAGCGTTCTTCCAGGTCCTAGGGAGAGCAGGCAATGTAAGAGAGTTAAGGGCCCCACGGACTAGGATGGGGGACTCAGCCTAGCAGACTGCCAAGGAATTCAAACATGCAGACTCTCATCAGCTGGGACCATAATTCCCTAAAAGTTTTCTCCACAAATGAATTGTAGAAATTTCCCTGGCATTCAGTAATTTTTTTTTTTTTTTTTAATACATGGGCTGTATCTCAACCCCTCACAGCTATTCAAATGTTTTTTCCAGTATTTTGGAGATTTTTATATTGAACTTAATTTTGAAGGCTCCCCAGACCAATCCAGCACATTCACAGCCTTCAACTGCAACAGGATATACCTGGAACTCTTTAAATGACAGACTTTAGCACCAGATTTTAGCTTTTAACTCTAGTAACTTCCCACTGCCAGCAACACTGTCTTCTGCAGCCTTTCCAATATTTTGCTGTTAGAGTCACTCTTCCCCTTCAGACTTCAACCACTTCTTGAATTCTTTCTATGGCCTTTTACCTTCAGTCTTTCTGGTATCCATCATCCATCCTGGAACCAATCAACCCCTCCTCTGCTAAAGTTGTAAGCCACTAGGACTTGGTGTCTGGCCCTACACTGTGAGTCAAGTGCTTTTTCCTGACAACGAAGAACCAGAGATAAAAGCCAGAAAAGATGCTGGCAAGTAGGGAATGTTAAAGGAAGCAGGCATATTCAAAGAGCACCTTGTGTTACTGTAGGGCCACTGGCCAGAGGATCTCAAGGTCTCTTAAACACCTTATGAAGCAAAGCTAAAAAATGGCCTGTGGAGCAGATACCCATTACTGGTTGAGTTCACAGACAGGCTAGGCTTTAATACAGATATTAAACATCAAGGACAAGCACACACAAAAACCAAAAATAGAAGCAGAAATGGAGTTTGCTGCTCACTTCTATTCATGTTTCATTAGAAAAAAATCTACACAAATAAAATGCATAACATTAAAATATACCTAAAATTTATTCCAATACGTTTATATAGATGTGCATACAGGAACAGCAATTGCTGCCCAGAAATTCTGCCATTGTTGTTAAATCCTAAGGGATCTTATAAATATTAAATATCTGTAAAGCTTCCTGTACCAAGCCTCTTTGTGAACAATTTGAAATTATAGCTTTTTGGAAACTGTTAATTTGGCAATCTCCAATTTCAAGGCAAGCTGTACTTTGTCTCTTATAAAAGGCAGACGAATAAATTAAACACACACCACCCCAGGGACCAGGCACTTACAGCTCCAGCAGCCCAAGCTCTTTGCAGATATATGTGTTTCTTGTCAGCTAATGAGGCTATTTCTAAAGTAGAGAGGAAATTAGAATGCTAATTTAAAAGGTGCTGTTTTGCCCACAGGTAGATATCTTCATCTGGAGTGAGAACATGTGGGTATGAACGTGTTTTCTCACTAACGTTCCCTGTTACAGGACAAATCTGATCCCAGAGAGGCAAACAGGAGGGGGGGAATGACAGAGTTTATCATATGATTACATGGAGGGTTTCAAAACATCTGTAGCCTTTAAGGTGTCTGCTACAGATCCACTTTTTCAGGGCTCCCTCCCTTCCCCAGACTAACAAAACATTTCCCTGTCTTACTCAAAGGTTACTGCACCCACTGCTGTGTGACTTTGAAAATGCACTTGGATCACCATGCAGCATTTAAACTTTTATTCCTACATCTGCTGGAACCAGTGCTGGTGTAACCACAGCCACAGGGAGGAACCATTTGAGGGGCAAGCAAGAGCTTATTTTATTTTGTATTTCTTGCCAAGTGAGTTTTCATCAGAAAAAGCTACATTGCCTCAAGTATTGGAAAACACAGGGCCAGGAAGGTTCATGGGACATGTAGAAAGTCCCTGCCTGGAAAAAAAAAATCAACGCCAAAGCTGTAGAGAATCTCCATCACATATACACCTCAATCACTGTCTGTTCCAGTCCTTCTGCAGCACTGGGAATATTTCTTTAGCTTTCACTGCATTTTACCTTTCTTGGTAGCACCCACAGCCAATTTTTGGAGACACTTAGCACTTTATAGTCTGCAGTATGTAAGTAGTATGTTACTTTTTTTCTCCTGCATTGCCCACCAAGTTTACTTTATACCAGTTCAGGGAATGCTGCTGTGGACAGAGAGAGGTTATGTGTGCCCCTCTCCCCAACTTGAAGTAGCAAAGCCTCTCCAAGTGGGAAGAAAGCCTGGCACTCCGGGAGTCAGGGCTTTGTGCATTTCCAAAAAGCTTTCACAATCTGACAAGTGTGGCAAGTCCAAGCCACAACATTTTGGATGTGTGGGGATCCCATCAGTTCCCCTCTGCATTGAAGAAGCCATTTCCCTACCAGGGCAGGAGGCTTGGAAAGGAGTGAAGAACTGAAGGGATCACCAAGCAGACTGTGATGGTGGAGGCAATAACCAGTTTTGCAGGCACATACATATGATCCACCCCAGATGGAAAGAGACAGAGGACAAAATTGCAATAAAGGATAGAGGATATTTCCCAGCCTGGATTTGTTTTTCCTAATTCACCTATAGTCTATGGAGTTTGTTATGGGGTTGGGCTCTTTTTTTTTGCCTTTTTTTTTTTTTTTTAAGTTGTTTGGTTTTGGTTTTTTCGTTTGGTTCTTTTCTTTTTTGATCAGCTTTTAATAATGATGAAAACAGCAGGATGGCCCCAGCTAAGTGCTGCAGTGCCACTGGCAGTACAATCTCCATCTAGGAACAAAAGAACATTATAATTGCCTAGAATAATTAAACTGTATTCTTTTAGCTTTTCTATTCACTGCAGATCAATTTATTGGCCCATGCTGGCCTTTCTGACTGCTGTTGAGCTCCCAACCCGACCCCGTTAAATCACATAATCTGTGCTTTTCCTTGGTTTGCTGTATGATAGCAGCCACTTCTAGCTTCAGTTTTAAATGCTACTGCTGGAATATTAAAGCATGGGCTAAAGAAAAGGCTGGCTTGTGACAAATGCAGCAATGCAGGGCTTACTTACATACCCGTCCTCAGTTGTGCTGCCCTTCTTCCCTCTCATACACACCTGAAAGGTGAACTTGGTCCCAAATTATTGCCCTCGGCAATAGTTGATCTTAACATTGGCAAAGGCAAGTGCAGACCTGAGCTATTCAATAAAAATCTCCACACTGCTCAAGAGCTAACTCTGTTGGTCACTTCTCCTTGCAGTGGCCAAGGCTGCTCGTGCCATGGGGGTGGCAGACCTCTGCCTTGGGTCCTGTATCCCATGGGACTCCTGCTCCCATGAAACTTCAGGGACAGCTTTGTCTTGCAGCTCATACACTGCCACGGAGGGAACAGCTGGCCCCAGCACTGCAGCCAAGCACAGAGCCTGCAGCACAAAGCTTGGCTTGGGCTGATCCACCTCAACATTAGGTTCCCCATTAATTACAAATCTACATGTTGAGCCTCACAACATTGAAATTAACTGAGATATTGCCTTAACATGTACACATACATGCATACACTGGTATTACAAGTTCAATGGCTTCTGTCCCTACAGTGATAAGAGACCACACATGAAATGGAGCCAGGAAGGGCAGAGAAAAATGCTTATTGCTTTAAGCCTCATAGCTGAACAGCAGGCTCTGCCCTACAAACCCAGGAAGTTTCTGTATCTCATTTGGGAAAGTCAAATCCCTGTTTTAGTGTTATCTCTTCCTGCATCTGCTGAGATTTAGAAGAAGCCTGCTCTGGCTTTGCAGGACAGCTGCTCATTGCACTGTCAGGCCTGGGTGCTGGGGGATTGCAGAGCTGGAGGCCAACAAACTGCAAATCTCTCTCCAGCATTCTCAGCAGAGTGTGAAACAGTACTGAATGCAGAGAGCAACAAAACCCTCTCGCCCCTGCAGGTGGGCTGGAAATGCTTTGCTAACATTGCCTCTCCTGGGATTTAGGCTGCCTCCACATTTCACAATTAAACTGTTTTGAGAGGCCAAATCCTACTGCTGCATGGCATGAGCACCCACAGATCTGGGCAGAAGGAATGCACACCCCATGGACACAGAACTGCATCACAATTACTGTTATTGACCAGAACTGTGCTGGTGAGGTCCCTGCTCATAGCAGGACATAGAATCACACGGGCAGCTGCTCACTAGCTTCATGCCTTGCCTGTTCTGCTCTTACTTTACCCCAAATTCACACAGAGATGTTGTCTGACTCCCACATCTGTCAAGCCTTCAAACCTTGCTTCCCACACAAAATGGACCCACCTCTCAGAGGCACGAGAGAGGGATAGCAGCTGGAACTCAGTGTATCCGCATTTGGCAGATGACAGCCTGGGGTGGTGAACAGAGAGACACACTGCACACACACACTGCACTACAAGGTGGGAAGCTTTGCATCAGTTTTAGAGCACTCCCCTTTAGAGTAAGGATGGGTCCAGAAGGCAAGTAAAGCTCTCACTGTTTTTGAGAAGCTTGTCTGGCTCCTCATAGCCCTTCTAGTTCTAGTTAGCCTAGTCAGGCTTCTTCCTCTTTATCCTTTATACACCTACAGAGCAGACCAAAGCAAATAAGGAATGGAAAGAAGCTTACACTTTTCCAGACTCCTGTAGCATCTCCAGCCACTGAGCCTGCTCAAACTCTGATTCGGCTGCTAGAACAATGTTACCCTGGAAGAGGGGAGGGGGAAAAAACCCAGATTAGAGAGGCTGGTGCCTTATGCACCTCTGTGCACTCCTGGCATGAACTGGACACAGTGTGCTGGGAGGAATGTCCACCACAGCCTTCCACCTCCTCAAGAAGCATCACACGGGAGCAAATACGACCTAGGCCTACCACACATTGGGAAGTGTGCACACAGCAAACAGCCACAGCTGGAATAACTCTGATAGGGCAACATGGGCTCTAGGGCTCCTGAGAATTTGTTCACTGGTGTGCTAGTATCCTAAAACCTGCTGTCAGAAAGTGCAAGTTTCCTTGTTGATTGTCAAAGCAGCAGCAGCAAAGTGTTGAGGGGACTTGGGATGCTAAGTCACCCTTGCCCTCAGGATAGTCTGTCCAGAGAGGGTAGGCATACCTTGGAGGGGAGGGAAAAGTCTGCCAGTCCAGCTCTGCTCATCAGCATTAACCTGTTCTGTGGTGTTTGGAGCTTTTTAGAAGAAAAGAAATCTACTTACATGGAAGTCTTCATGAGAGATCTTTATGGCATAAGGCATGTTGGCCTCTTCTTTGGGCTCCACAATGCAGCCTCCCAGGGGTATGACACCCTGGAGATAAACCAGAGCACTCTAATCAGTCAAAAAAATCAAGTATAACTATCAACTAACCAGGAGCTGAACTTTCAGTCACTTTGTTGGCCCCTGCCCTGCCTTGGCTATCCCGGGAAGTGCAATACACACAGTTCCTGCAAAGCAGAGGGACTCATCACCCCCAGGAAACCCACAGCAGGTATTTGGAAGGGGGTAAGGATGGCAGTCCTGCCTTCAGCACAGAGGGAAAGCTGTTAGCTAGAACATGGAAGCAGAAACTGTTTCATCAAGGAGGAAGTGATCTCCCAAGAGGGGCAAACCTTGCAGATTCTCATGGAAGAGGCTGTGCATTCATTGCAGTCACTGACAGCAGTGAAAACCCCACAGTGCTGTGTTGGGCAGGCAGCTGGCTGTGACAACCAGGATGGGTGGAATCAGCACCTTAGGAAGCTCATGTGCTACATCAGCCTGTAGTGACTGCAGAGGACAAAAGCAGCCCAGAACACAGGGTCCTCTGGAGCTACAGAGGCCACTCAGGTACTGAGGGCAGGTGGGCCATCAGCTGCTGTCGAGTGCAAGCAGAGGTTAGGAACAAGAAGCAAACAGAGCTCTTAGTCCCACCACTGGCTTTGCCAACATTATTTTTATAGCCACAAGATTAGTTGATTAGATCATGAAAACAAGGGAATATATCTACTATCAGGTAATAAAAACCAGAAGTCATATGCCTGCAGAGTCATTAAATGTCCTGAAAAGGTGCCAACATGATTCCTTCTCTTTTGAGGCTTCCCTGAACCTGTGAGATGTCTGAGGCTTACTGAGACTTACCTCTTCACCTGCTGGGCCCATGGAGAAAAGGGGAGGGAATGCTGGAAACAGAATAACTCCTTCCTTGTGCAAACACTGCTCACCTTGGGATGGATATTGAAGTATTTATTGCTTTCAAAACTCTTCTTCTCACTCTCAGCATAGTACAGCAGGAAGCTTTCCTTAATGATGAAGAACCTTTAAGACAGAGAAGGGAAATACATTCTGGTGAAATGAGGGTTGTGGTTCACAGCACAAGAAAACTCCCACCTAACTAAAGCTGCTTTCTGAGCAGGAGAGTTTACCACTCCCACCTAAGACTAAGGTGAGGTGCCTCACTTCTGCTCACAGCCAGGAGCTGGTGCTTAACAGCAAGTGCCAAGTTGAGGTACTTTGTGCTTGCAGTTCACCCCAGCAGGCAGCCTCCAGAGCTGAGGGCAAACCACATGCTCACAGGGCACAGGGACAGCACTCTGTGCCCCAGACAGGACCACAGACCTTTGGTACCTCTATGTGTGTGCCCTCTCTAGCTCACATGTTGAATTCAACCTATTGGAGAGAGCTGCTCTTTTATTCAAGGGTCTCTTGCATGGGCTGAGACCAACTAAATGCTTATTTTGCAATATGCTGCCTGCCACCCTCTTGCCTCCCATCTCAGCATAAGCCAGAGGGAAGTGTTTCCAGTCCAACAGAGAACCACAGTCTAGCATCCCCAGGCGACTCTCGAGGCAAAAATTGGCCACCAAAGCACTCAGGAGCAGAAATAAATTTGAGAGATATTTTTAAGCAGAGCACCTGGCAAACTCTCCTGTCACTGACCTTCACAACTACAAAGGAAATTGAATATTCTTTTTCTCATATGTGTAACATTAAAATAGGCCTTGTTCTGCTCACTTAGCCTTAGGTATGCTCTGGTGATCATTGTGTAGTAACCACAAAATATCACAGCTTCTGTAAGCCAAGCCTCTAACTTACTGGAGTGCATCCTCAAAATTATGATTAAAGGAGTGCCACCTTTAACTTATTTGGATTTTGGAAATGCCCCTGGGAGTGTCCCTCCTCTCTTCAAAAATTGAGGTTGCACATACTCTGCAGGCAGTGGTACAGGGGAGAGATACCTGACTTAGTTTCAATTTGGTCTAAATCTCTGCAGCACTCAAAAATTATGAAGAGCAGCTGAAAAAAAAAAAATGGGAACAAGTGTAGTAGGGAGGTTTCAAAAGAGCAAATGACAAAGAAAATGTTTTGTTCTGTTCTGTACATATTTTCTGACATGAGAAAGAGGGATTTGGGAAGAAAGTGAAAGGCAAGAATGTGAAAATTATTTAAAAATTCCTTTTTGCTCTTCACAAAACACAGCTGTGTAAATGACTTTCATGTGGTCATGAGGGCAAGAGATCATGAGGAAATTTGAAGGGATAAGGCACCTCCATGAATAATAACATTCCCAAGAAATCCTCCTGTTTCTGGGAGGGAATAAGAGAAGACCCCTACTGGCAGTGCTGCCCACTACCGGGCATTGCTGCACCATTCCTTGGAGCCACCATTAGTAATGGGCTAGAGGCTGACGGGGCTGATCCACAAGGACAATTCTAATGCCTTCATGCACCCCCATCCCCCCCCCAGACCTCTCCTGAAGTGAACGGATTGTCTGATGGAGCCAAGTCCTTCCTCCAGTCCAGATGAGTACAGAAATCTGGTACCAGTTTATTTCCAAAAGCTAAAGAAAGATGTTGAAGCTGGCAGAGAATTATCATAATAAAATAATATGTATCATTATTAATAATTATTATTATTTTACTTGGGTGAAAACTTTACTGCTTCCATCAGCTTCTGTCTCATGGTCTTCTGCTATGGCTCTGGCAACACAGATGAAATTGCCAAATGCCATGGAAACAGACCACGGGCTCTTGGGGCAATAAAAGAACAAAGCTAAACTTCTCCAAGTCTGCAGCAGACTCAAGTTCTGGACCACTTAGTACCTTCTCCAAAGTGTTTGAAAGTGACAGTCATTGAACAGGTACTTATTTACATCCAGAAATCTTCAGAACATACAAACACCAGCAGCAGTTGTTGTTCCCCAGTTTTTTCTTCTCCTTGCCCTCTCATCTGTACCTGTTCATGCTGCCATCAGAGGTGGGGAGAAGCAGGCACTTGGCCAAGGCAGACATCAGAGACCTCCAGAGAGCAGACAAGATTTGTTCCTGGTTCCTCCTGTCCACATCACTTCTGTGAACAGCAGCCTTGTGCCTTTCTGATTAATTTTCCTCGCATCTCTGGTTGTTAACTCTATATAAGCAAGTTTTCCTTTGAGTAGCTGCATCTTTCTGTTTTCTTCAACTCTATGCTCAGTTCAAGGAGGACTTCATTCTTTAGAGAGAAATGTGGCTCATCTGCACAATAGACACAGAAATGACATCTTAAAAGAACAAACCTGCCTGCCCAATGGCCTGTGCTTGGTCCAGTGAGTCACAGGGAACCAGATACTGTGGGCACAAGTATGAATCTAGAGATGCCAGAAGTCAACACACCACATGAAACAGAGAAAGTCAAATCATCACTTTCAACACTCTTTTCAGTCTGACTAATCTCAAGAAACATTTGCTAGACAGGTAAATATATTGATCTTTAACTCTGTGTGATTTTTTAATCTAAATGTTATCCCCCAGTTAAAGACAGGGTTTAGTTTGTTACATACTTTTTATAACTCAGTGCTGATAATCCTCATATTATAGATTATTCTTCAATGAAAACCAAAATCAAAGTAAAAATAAGAACAAAACATAGCACAAATCTCTGAAAATTGATGTGTCTCTCACAGATAAATTAACTTTTAGATCCCTGATCTCAGAGATGTGGAGAGAAAATATGGGAGTTTGGAATGAAAATATACAAAATAAGAATTTAAAATAAGAAAAGTAATGAGGGAAAAACATTGAAAATTTGGTTAGCTTGTGCACATAATGTATTTATGCTCAGATCATATTTCCTCACCTATCCTTACCTGGAAAGCAACACTGAGCAACCAAGACCATCACTTTAAATGACCTTCAGGACAGAGTTTCCATGCAACAATCCAGGGGCAATTGATGCAGCATGGTGAAAAGAGGGATGAAGTAAAATAGAGGAGAGTTACAAGACTCAAGAGCAGGTTGAAGACTAAAGCAGCAGCCAGGTGAATAAGAGCAGAAAGAGAAAAGATGCTCAAGGGAGAATGGGGAGAGACACTCCATTAGGACTGTGATTGGAGGACTGGAGACACTGAACATGTGTCTGAATTAGGCAGCAGGAAAAAAGGGACAGGGGAAGATTTTGAATACAAACAAGAACCCAAAAAAGGAGCAATTTAAAAACAGAGCAGAGCTCAAAACCTTGGAGAACAGCAGCAAAGGTGTGAGAGGTGAGACAGCCTGTCACAGCCACACTCCACAAGCAGCACAGGTAATACAAGAGCCATTCATGTGGTCAGCTGCTGTGGTCACCCATCCCTGCTGCTGGATCCTGCCCTAAGGAACCACTGAAACCACAGTGTAATTAAACCGGAATAGCAGAGGAATGGTAACAATTTGAGTGACTCGGATATAAAGCAGAAACAACAGCTCTGTACTGGACAAATTGAGATACCTGATCTCTGTGGAATAAGTACTCTTTGTATCACAGAAGGCTAATGAAATTAATTAGCTAATCTTTGTACAAGTTTTTGACATGACAATGGCCTAGATGAAGTAGTTACACTATAAAACCGCAGCAGTCTCCCAGGTCCTTTATTCCGACGTTGTTTCTCTGGGCCAGGAGCACAGGGGGCAAATCCCATTTACTAGATCAGCCCAGTGCTCTATCCCCGGGGACAGCTCAGGGAAGCGATGGGCAAATGATCTTTATCATTTGCATGAAGATCAGAGTTCACAGAACCTGCCCCTCGCTCTTCCTCTCCTGACAGCTCCAGGCTTCCCCGCCTGCCCCGGCACCCGGAGCACACCCAGCCTGGCTGGGAGCGGGAAGAGGCTCAGGATGCTTAAATGGGAAGAGTACAAGGAGCAGAGGGAAGCACACGCTCTCGCAGCCCCGCTGTCTTGGCAGCCCCTGCTGCCCTGTGCCGCACGCTGCTCTGCAGCTGTGTGATTCCCGGGGGTTCTGAGCAGAAAGCAGCCATAAACAATTCCCTTTTCCATCTGTGACCACACGCAGTGACTGTTAGTAGCCACTGTGGAAAACAAGGTTATGTGCCTGCTTTGCAATGCCACAGACAGGACTGGTTCAAGAAAAGACAAAAAAATTCTTTCTTAACTGTGCTGTCTTTCCCTCCTTCCAAACTGTCATCTCTGATGGATTTATGGAGAGATATAGGCATATTTTCTGTTTTGTTCTCTCTTCTTGTGCTTCACCTTGCTTTTCTATGTTCAGTTGTTCACCAAAGAGATGCCCCTTCCTGGCACTGTCTCATTGAACCCCTAAGTCTCATTCATGGATGGTGACAGTTCAGAGCCTGATATTTCTATATGGGACTGGGATTATTCATAGTAAAGGATATGCCACTTCCATGCTGGAAAGCTACAGCACGCTATTCATGCCATATCCAGGGTGGGTACACACATTATGAATTTCACTCCAGCCTCTGTGCCAGGCTGATGCCATTACCAGTAAAACTTTTGTAGTAGGAGAGGCTAAATTGCTTGTTAGGCATTGGAAGGAAGAATGGGGTGCAGTTGTTTGGAAGGGGAGGACCATTACTCAGGGACCGAGAATATCATTTTCCAAAGCCACTTCAGCAGTGACCCAAGCTTAGACTGCTCAAAAGTACCAGTAAATTCAGAAGACAGGTGCTTCTCTGTTGGAGGGATATCACTTTACAAGGAAAGAAATGCACATTAGGAATAGAACTCCCTTTCTTTAAGGGATAGGCATTAGGATGCCGCTAATGGCATTTCAAAAATCAAGCTCTGAAAGGCATCATGCTCAGATGTCAGACCTGGCAGATAAACACACCTACACTGGTCCAGTGCCGGAAACATCCAGCCCACTCTCAGACAGTACCTGAGGTAGCACACAAATATGTCATTTGGGCTTCAGAGCAGACTCCTTTTGCATGGGCAAAAGAAAGGACTGAAAATGCTCCAGACAGCTGCCGCAGGTCTAGTTCAGCTGTCTCCACAGGTGACATCAGATCTAGCCCTGATAAAACAAGGCTCTGCTATCCCTCCCTCCTCCCTGCATAACCTCTACTGCTGTAAAATTCCAAAACCTGGGATTTCCATCACCAAAGTACTGGCCACCATGCCTGAACACTTTTTCCTTGATCTGCTATCTAGTCAGATTCCATTCTTCCCTGAAACAGTTGCTTTTCTTCTCAGTTTCTCCAGAAGTATTGCTGCCACAGCCAAATGAATGGGATCAAGCCAGTAAATACCACATGTCTCCCATACAGACCTATCTTCATGGCTGATGGCACGATGAGATCAGTCCTCCCCTCACACAGAGTTTTATGTCCCATACCTCAGAAAGACTTTCCTTGGGAGTGGGAGTAGTACTGTTGTCCAAGATTTCAGGACAAAACCTACATTTATCGGAGACTAGGTCCTTAATGACATCATTATATAGTCATATATAATATGACATATATATATATATATATATATATATATATATATAGTAATTTTTTTCTTAATTTAACTGGAGTGGGAAACATCTCTTCTTTTCATAAAAAATTGTACTTGACCAGCTATGTGTTGGTGGGTATGGGAAGAAAGAGGGGGAAATGAATGAATTGCTCCTCATCTCCCCATAATGATTTGTTATAATAACATGCAAGGTTGTTTTACTTTAAAGCAAGTCTCTCCCATGATAAAACAAACAAACCAATAACATATTGTTCCTTCTGTTCAAGTCTTTTCACCCCAGTACTCACTTCCTTCCAAACCCTACAGATTCCATGTTCAACTTTAACAGACCTGTGTCTGGTCCCCCAGGACCCCCAGCTGCTGTGCTTGCAACTAACCTTCCACATCACCCCTGCCCCACAGTCACCTCCCCTTCTGCTCCCAGCTGCTATCACTAAAATATTTACCACTTGCTGAAGATGGGGTTGACTTCTAGGAATAGAACAGCACTAAATAAATGATGACAGTGGGAACAGAGATGGACCATTTGCCTGTAAGAAATTTTTATTAGGGAGAGCCTTTTAAAAATGCCTCCTCCATGGCAAATTACCTTTCCCTCTATTAGTCTGTCCACTTATTTTCTGAAACACAATCAGTTTCCCAGACATAATTCATTTATTTATCAATATTTGGGAGCTTAGTAGGGAGCATCAGCACAAATTCTTTTCTGGGTGAAAATAGGCTGTTCTTGGCATGGGAGGGAATAAGACACACACAGGTCAAAGACCGCTACAAACACAAAACTGCTTCCCAAGTAATGTTTTTTTTTCAGGCTATGTCATTTTCACAGACTAGGCAGCACTATGGTTATACAGAGAGCAAAGCTGGGAAAGCTGACTTTAGAAACGGACTGTTTGTATCTACACTGCAGACTGCAGCAAAGGTACTTACCCATGAAAGGTAAGTGCCAGAGATTCAGTGATTTGCATAAAGAAACTACACCAACTCTAAACTTAAAACCGACCCACCACTTCAGCATTATAGAGCATATTTCTGTCCTTGGCTAAAGGTTATAGCAAATGCTTTCCAGCTTCAAACTTCCTGGCTGCTGACAGACAACATCCAGCAGCTTACAACTCCCTAACACCAGATGGGAGAGAATTCAGAGCCACCTTCTCCCCAGGGAAGAGTCTGCATGTGCTGTTCCCAGCATGCCGTCAGTGCCAGGCAGCACAGCAGTACTGGAGCTGTGCACAGATCCCTGCAGACCACACACACACACTACAGACCCACACGCAGTCAGCTCAGCCCTGCCATCTCGCACCCGAAGGACTCAAAGAGCTTTGAGTGCCAAAACAAAAAGGTCAGGCAGTTTAGAGGCAAAATACATGAACAGACTCTTCCCCTTTAATGAAACTATCATAATTATTCAGAGGAGGCAGCTAGTCTCTATTACCACCCTGAAGTGCACATAGCACAGATAAAGAAGAGAGCACAACAGGGTGCCACATGTGTAAAGCAGGCTCGGAGCAGCAGGGAAGCTATGCCCCAAGTTTTACCCCGAGCCTCTGCCTGGCTGGCTGCACTTGAAGAGCTAAGCACTCAGTCTCTTAACTTATCCCAGAACACTTCAGCTTTGTGTTTCACCCGAGCATCCCTCAGCAGCTGTGGCTTACCTCCTGGACCATTTGGCTGACTGCCTCCCAAAGGGTCTCTTCCAGAGCACACCGTACAGCTGCACTTTGGTGCTGATGTCCAGAGCATCCGAATCTGCCTGCTCCATGGATGGAGAAGGGGAGACAGAACTGGATTTTGAAGCAAACATTATAGATGGATCTGGTTCTAACTCACCCCCTCTGCGTGGCAGCTCAGGGAATCCGATTAAATGCAATGAACCAGCAGGATGTAACCAGCCCAGCAGACAGAGAGACTGGGCTTTGGTTTGAATCAATAACTTGACTGCTCAGCACTCAGTCAGTAACTCTCCCCCTGATGCACAGATGATGAGAGTTTTCTCATTGCGTATTACTTCCTGATGCATTGCAAACAGCACACATCCCAGCCCAAGGGAAAAAGAAGAGTGAAGAGAGTCAGACATCAGAAACACAGAGAGGCAGAAAGAGCTCGTCAGAAAGAAAGCTCCAGCAATAACATAAGCCAAAATACCTCTGCACCAGAGCCAGCTTGGAAGGTTATTTCACTCGACATTGCAGCACTCCATGCAGAAATTAGGGCAAGACGGATGTTTTACTGACAGGCATCTCTGACACATATTCCCAAAATCTTGCACTTGGAGACAGGTTCTTCTCATTTGTCCTGAGGAAAATTGGGGCAGAGTGAGAGGGAGCCAGCAAGTTCAGTCAGACTCCCTCTGTCATCGGGGAGGGTGAGGGGGCCTTGCTGTGCCAGCCTGGCACTGCCCACCTGGGGACAGTTCACGTGGCTGCTGGGTTTGGACTGGGCAGTGTCCATACTGCACGCCTTGCTCTGCCTTAAAGGGCCATTGCTGATCAAAGTTAGAGAATAAAATTCTGCCTGCCTTCATGCTTTGCTGCATCTTGGAGAGGTGGCAAAAACAGCCTCTGCCCTGCCTCTTAGGTACCAGCTCCTTCTTGCCCAACACAGACACATAGGAATGTGTCACACAGCTCAGATCCATGTTCATCTCCTGCTTAGTGCTCCCACAGCAAGCTTTTTTATCTGGCTCCCTATGTCCTTGTTTCTCTCTTGAAACCCCTTCTTCCTGTACAGATACACAGTTCTCCAAAAGAACCTGTGTTTTGCAATGCCCACAGGAAAGCAGTTTAGCCTCATATTGTTCTATACTTCATCTTGCCTCGCCCTCCAGGATTAGAATTCAGGGAAGAATCCCAGCTGCTAAACCATCTGTGGTTTTGGGATATCCTATAACCAACACAGACATGTACATGCTGTATGGCATGTATGCTATATATGTTGAGGTATCTGCTCCTGATTTAACCTGTGCCATCCCACATGAATAGATTTTGATGCTGTAGTTGTTGGATGTCAGCCCTTCCCAATGCAGATGTTCAGAAGAAACACAGTGTGCAGACACATGGTCCTTTCCCATCCCCAATCAGAAACCTGGGATGTGCTATAGGCCAGGTCACACCACAGGACATGGGCTCACTTAGCTTTATACAGTCAGAGGCACTTGCAGAGCATCTTAAAAAGAGGAGATGCAGACAGCCTGCCTCAGGCTCACAGCCTGCATTCACTATTAGAGAAATTAGAGATGCAGTCCCTGATAAAAGTCACAGTCGATCAATAGATGAGAGCCAGCAAACTCCATGATTTGTTACTTCCTCTCGCCCTGGCTTTGACAACCTTTTGGTCCCAGACAGGACATGGCCTGAGCAGCAGGACATGCCCCATTTCAGAGTGACATTAAGGCAGAGGGTGGAGAAGAGAGCAGCAGATACTGCCTCTATCTCACCTGAGCTCTAACTCTTGAATACAATACTGCATTGCAGAAGAGAAGAGTATTGAATATAATACTGCATCTATTAATGCCATAGATGCCATTCCATACACAGCACCAAGAAGGAAATAGTACTCATAACCAGGAGAAGGAAAATTTCCCCTCAAATTATGTTGCACAAAAGGTAAAAATTATTCTGGGCCCTACAGCCTCACATAACTGTATAAATGTCCAGTGAAAAGCCAAGACCTCCCATGTAATAATCCAGCGCCCCTGCTATTGTACTGCACCAACAATGCAAAGATCTGACAGCAGCGACCTTGCCATGAGACAGATTTTCACCCTTTACTTATTTTTCATTCTTTCTTATTTTTATCTCATACAGATTAAGAGAGTAAAGAGGTTTCTAGCTCTGAACATCAAAAAGTTTGTTTTTTTTTTTCTTCTGGAGGCCTCTAAGACAAGCAAGGTACTGAGTTACAGCAAGTTCTTTAAAGTCAACAGCCCAGGGGAGGGAAAGAGCAGCTTGCTTTTGTCAAGTGACAGGCCAGCAATGCTAGGTGAATTTTGTAACTGCTGGTGTCTGGACACAGTAATTTGTAGTAATAGTGGCTCTTTTAACATTTCCTCTATGTGTGTACTAATCTAATGAAGGGGAAACACACCTGTACATCCCTGAGAGACAGCACTGGACCTTTAATCAGAAAACCTTTCTTTGGAGCAACAGGCTGCACTGGTATGGCAATTATTTTACTAATATGTTGTATTTATTTTTCCTACACATCAAGCCAATAAAATTTTGCTAAAAATAAACATTTGAAGCAGACAGCAGCACAAGCTATACAGAAGTAACACTTCTTAAGAGAAGTCAGGTCCCCCGAGTCAGAAGGGGCCTACAAGGAGCATCAACTCTGACTCTTAGCCCTGCACAGGAATTGCCCAAGAATTACCTCATGTGCCTTCATCACAGGCCACTCTCCAGCTCAAAGATGCTCCCTTTCAGTTTAAGGAGACACATACTAACTTCAGCTGCTGAGGGGGGCTTGTATTTTTTTCTTTTTTTAACGTGGAAAGTTACATCTTCGTGTTCGGGCACCCTGACAATACTGTGTTATGCAGAAAAGAACAAACTGCTTCTTGGGCTGGGGCCAGTACCTTGAGATGGATCAGGGCCGTTGCAGAGTTGGAGAGATTCAGATCTTACCTTCCAGTAAGGCAGATTCCCTTTGCTTTTACAGCTTCTGATAGATTCCATAGCCATTTTTAACTCTGAGAAACATTAGCAATCATGGGAGTTATTAGCAGGTATCCAAATAACGTGCAGAAGTAAAGTCCAGCTCCAGTTTCATTTATGATACATCATTCTTGCAAAGAAAAAATGTCACATGTACTCCCCAAAGTGATGCTCCAGCTTCCTGGGTGCACAGCTGCGTGCAGAGGCTGTTTTAAGTAGAAAAGCAACTACCATCAATTCACCTCTAGTGAGATACACTAACAGAGCATAGAGTTTCTTTTGCACAATGATTAAATTTTCAGTGTCAGATGGAAAGTCGGAGCTGTTCTGCAGAACTCAAAGAAAAGTTACTCAGCAAATGGCATTAAAGTCAAGTGCCCCAGTAGAACCCCATCAGACATCACCCTTAGAGATGTATAACCCCGTTTAACATCATCCCTTGATAAGAATTACATGGTCTCAGTGACCTGTTTCAGCCAAAGCCCTTCACCAGTCCCAGCCCTTAGAATGCACTCAGATCCATGCTGGATGGCCCAGGAGTCGTAACTAATCCAAATTTTTGCCATGGATATAGCACCACTTTGAGAGACTTAGAGGAAAACAGAAAATAATGTATCAGTTTACTGAAGCAAAGGGATTTGCTAGCAAGCAGTCAGCCCCATAGCTTGGCTTTTGGGAAGTAGCTTTCTCAGGAACAGATACCATAGTCGATTACTATTTCTCTCAGGACAAAAAGAAGACAATTTAAGTTTTTAAAAAATCCTACTAAGATAGCTCTTCTGGAAGAAAACTCATTTACTCTGGTGTTTTGTTTTGTTAAACAAAGATTTCTGCTAAAAAGCCATCATTCAGAATACATCAGAGTGGTCAGCTATCTTTGAAGGCCTCCTGCAAGGCACCAGTTTTTCCCCCATCAAGTCTAAATACCACAAAATGATCACATGGCTGACAAACAGAAAATGCTTGGAGCTTCAGTAGTTAAATAGGCTTCTTATCTGACTGAGGCTGTCCTGTGCAGGGCCAGGAGTTGGACTTTGATGACCATTGTGGGTCTCTTCCAACTCAGAATCTACGCACATAACTTGATTTCCCTCAGCCACTGCTCCTCCCATGTGACACTGGTACTAAATCCAGAACATCACAAGAATACATATACCAGAGCAGTAGTTTGGGTACCATGGGCAGTCAAAAAATTCCTTCAAAAGATAAGGATTTGTTAGCATTTCCCTGGCAGAATAAAGGAGGAGGGGAAACGTAATATCTCTACATATTAAGGCAGGCAAACAACCAGACAACCACCAGCAGAATTCAGATCTGACAAAACAGTCCAGCAAGGAGCAAATGAGATCCAGGGCTGCCCATTCTGGAAAAACACACTCTTTAGCTGTTTTAACACCAGTTAGTATATCTGCATTCTCCAAGTTTCTGAAAACAGTTTAGCTGCTGCAAAGGTAACTTTCTCAACTGCAAAGGTATCAATATTGATTGCAGTCCACTAATTTCTACCCAGTTTCTTCCCTTTGATCAAAAGAAAGAAATTCATAGGCCTTTTAAACAATAAATACATATCCAGGAAAACAGAACTGGCCAACCCCCGTTTTTATTTAATCTTAAGTTCGTAAAATGCCTCACACATGCACACAGAGACCACAAGTGCTCTTGCATACACATTCAGCGCTTCCTTTACACCTACCATTGCTGTGATCACTGAAGGCAAGGCCTTAAAAAGTATGGACACTACAATTAGGACTTCATTCAGGACTGGAAACTGCAGGGCCCACACCACCAGCATTCTTCACACTCTTCCCCTATACACTGTGCAATACCCCTCAGCTCTAGTTGCAGCAGCCACCACTTCAAGTTCCTCCTTCCTGGTCCTGCTCATCCAGCCAGTCACAGCAAGGTCAGGACTCCTGCTGCAAACATACGCAGGGAAGGCACAAGACACCTCTTGCCTCCTTCCTATCCACATTCTCAAGTGGTTATCTAAGTACAGAGGCACAAAGATCTACTGCTGCCATCTATCATAGCAGCAGACCATGACAGCTGTATTACAAACTGCGCAACGATGAGGAGAACCAGCAGCCAAATGAAAAATAAAATGTCTGGCGAGGAAGGGCATCGAGGACTTTGCTCTCTACAACATACAGCAGTCCAAGAGGGCCATCTCCTTTTATTCTCCTGTGAGCCAAGCTACACAGCTTTTGTAGATGAGGCTTCTTTCATAATGCTGAAGTTTAGATTGCAGGGATAAACATGGAAATGCTCCCAGATCCACTGCCTACTCATCCACTTGTACTCAGTCATCTTCACTTGCAGTGTCTGCACAGAGGAGATACCAGAGGTACAAAGTTTTGTTCAAGATCAATCACCTGTCAGTTTCTCTGTCAAAAAGAGAGAACAGAACATGGGAAATCCATTGCAGTCTTAGAACTCGACTCCTTCTACCGATAGCATCACCCTCTGAGGGCACAAAACACTTGAGTAAGAGGCAACAGTAAGACTCCCCCAGAGTACTAGTAAGGCTTGTAAGCAGGGCTTTTAGCAGGTCTCTTCAACCCTGTGTAACCAGGCGTAGCTCACTGAAAGTGTTCCTTCAGACAGCAGAAGCCCATTAACCTCCACAGACTCCAACATAACTATAATCATAGATTATCAGTTAACCACTACTTCAGATACTGGCTGGGCACACAGATGCACAATAACCATTTTCCCCCTAATAATATCATTCTGCTTTTAAATTTTCCAAATACTATGCAGCTTTGGTGTCAGTCAGCATGATACAGCTTAATTTTTATTAGGTCTACAAGTTCTTCTGAACGAGGCAATTTTCTCTAACCCCCATCCACAATAACAGTTTGTTAATCTCTCAACATGACAGACAAGGGGGAGAAGTGCTGTGATAAGGAGGGTGGAATGTTGTGCAATTCTGCCTGCAGGGATACTTGGATAAGGTTTGCATATATCAGTAGAAGAATGGCTTAATTTGTCAGCTGGAACAATAGATGACAGCTCATCATCTTGGTGCTGTGCTCATCCCTAATGAGTCGCTCATAAAAATGCTGATGTACATTTTTATTTCCTTAACAAATGAAGGAACACTCTACAGCAATCACCAGGAAGTCTGCAACACCACAGCTCCTAAATTTAAGTTTGTAATATAAATGCACCCAAAGCACTTCCTCACATCTCCGAAAGGATTTACCACAGACTACAGTGATTAAATCTCCAGTTACAGAGGTGACATGTTTACTAAATACACTAAAAGAATGCTAATATACTGCATAATGCTTTACCATTAAAACTGAGTTTTACTTGCCGAAAAAAAAGTCTGCCTGGAAAAAAGAGTGGCTTTCCCTTCTTACTGCTTTACATTTGCTTGTGCCAGCTTTAACAGCACCTCTGTCCTTTGCTTCAGTTCTCCTACTGACTTTACATTAATCATATTCTCTTGTGCTTAAGCCAGTATAAAGAGATTACACTTCCTTAAAGACACAAGTCCTATGAACTACCAGAAAATCAAATGCAAGCAACAAGCTGAGAGGATTGCTTATTGCTTGAGTGAAAGAGCTAAAACACTGTGTGACAGGATCTTAGATAAGTCTGTAGACAGCAAGCTCAGCAGAAAAACATAAATCAATTTTTTTAATGAATTGCTTATGAATCATCTCCATCAAGTGCTATCTCTTAAATGGATGCATGAAGTTTGTAAATGCATACATCACTCATCCTGTAACAGCACCATTCCCCTTTCTCTTTTCTGAAAATGCAGGTCTAAACCCCAGTCCTGCTCAGAGGGCAGCTGGGAAGTATGGAGAATATCTGTACACTATGTCAACTCAGCAGCTCTAAGAGGAATCCCATCAATGTATATAATAAATACTTGAGAGAAGGATGCAAAGGGGATGGAGCCAGACTTAGTGCCAGATTTTTGGTTTGGGACTGACAAGAGATTGAGAGCAAGGATGGAAAAAAGATTATTTCCTTTAGTTCCAAAGGATCCTCAAGTCATTCAACAGTGGTCTAGAGCAACCTTAAGCCCATCATCTCCTTGTTACTCTCCAAAGGTCCCAGCCTTGTAAGCTCCAAAGATTTCCCTAGGGGTGCAGAAGGAGATAGCTTCAGGGCAATGCCAGCCCCTAAACACTCTGTGACAGACACAGTTGCCAAATGCCCCGCTAAAGCCGAGCTGTCACATCATCTCTGCATTAATACCTCTGAACACATTCAGAGCCATATCCAAATCCACCTGCTACGCTGCCTCCCAACATGCAGCTCACATTCCAGGTTTGCAAGAGGTGCTCAGACATCATAAAGAAAAGCAGCAAACACACTCCCACAAAAATAAAACATTGTCTGCAATGCTTGCATCCCATTTAAGACTGTCATTTCTTTCCACTAGAGCTGTCAGAAATCCCCAGGCAGTAAATGACAAACCAACTCCAAAGCAATGCACCTAGTAAAAATTTAATATAATAAAACAAATTGAAAACGGCAATATTATTTTAACCATTCACAATTAAAGTGGAAAAATTATAAGGCAGCCATTCATGGAATGATTTCGTGTACAAATGGTTTGGAAAAAAGACATTAAAATTACAGTTCCATACATGGAGAAACATGTAAGGTAAACAGCAATGACCACAAAATGTTTTTCCCTGGAAAGCCAAGGCTGCTAAGAGATATAACAGTAAAGAAAACAAATATTTTAAAAGAAGTTTGATGTGACCAGGAATCTGAAATTTGTGGTAAAGAATCCAATACTCATCATAAACTCTCTCACCATACTGCAATCACTCCGCCTCCTTCCATCCTCAATAGAATACAAGTACACTCTCCTTCTCTATTTCCCAAGGGCCAGCACAGAACAGGAAGGGAGCAGCAAGAGCATTTATTCCACAACATCTCTCTCTTTTCTGCAATCAGCTGATACCCCATGGACACACCTGCTACTGTCAAAAGCTCCTTGAAGGCTCTGAACTAGTTCCTGAATAAACACAGTGATTTTCCTGGGCCTCTTGGGTAAGATTAGCCTTTTATATAATCCACCTGGAAATAGTTCTTTGGAGTCAACAGTGGGTTTCTGTGTTTAACACCCAGCCATCTGACAAGCCAAAACAACCAAAAAATCCTGTCTTGGTGCAACAGCTCTGCCATCCTTACTTAAATTAATGTCAGTGCAGCTTCTGCCTCTGCCATTGAGTGCTGAAAAAGAAATATTTCCCTTCTTTATATAAGGAACAATAAAAGCATTAGAACAGTAGGGGAAGTACCTGAAGACATGAGGATCAATAGTAACAGCTTTAGTCCAATTCCTATTGCCAATTAAGAAATCATTAACTGAAAAGAAACAGGTGATGAGAATATTATGGATTTCCTAGAAGGATTTACAGAAGGAAAGTGGGACATGGCTGGCACTTGGTTTAAGCATTTACCTGCTAGACCTACTGCCACCTACCTCACAGAAGAAAAAACAGGCAGAGAGGCTATTACAAAAAGAGGAATTTGTTTGCACCAAGGTCTCCAAAGGAGTAGAAAATGATACCAGATGGCCTTGCCTACATGCAATGCTTGGATTACTGTGACAGATGGGGAGATAGGTAGAAAAAAAGGGCTATAATAAAATGGACCATTTAATTTAACTCATTAAAATACTCTGCGTCGAGAAAATAATCCTCAGTTTGGTACTAAAAATTTGGAAAGGACTGATAATATAAAATTTTACATTTTCAGTATCAACATAACCAAAAGCTTCTCCAGTCACTGCGGTTTCAATTACAGAATTGAAAATAGTAATTCAGTGATAACAGGCAGCCAAAACAACATGCTGTTGCTAATTATAAATAGATAGAAGAAAAAACAAAAATCACTGAAGTCTTCTGTCACTTAACCAAATATCGAAATGTATGTTTTTAGAATTTCTGTGCCAATTTTGAGTTGCCAATGTTTCCATTTAAATTCCTTCACCTGCTGCTGTAACTTGGCCCCTATACTTCATGAATCATTAAACTGAGCACTACTATTTCTGATGGCTGCCCCAGAAACTGGAAACATGATGTGAAGGACAGGAAAATGGAAAGATGACAAGACCCCTCAGCAGGGGCACCCGTGAGTAATACGCCAGAGGTTATGTCAGCAGTGAAAAGCCGGCTGCCACACCCTCATCCATGTAAAAAGGTCCTATCCGCACGGGAACAAAAGGCATGGAGCGGGAAGCCTCTGTCAACCACTGCTGTTGTTACACACAAAGTGAGGCTGAAGGGGAATTCGGGCAGGGTGTCAACTCCCAGGGTGGGGTGCACAGGCAAGTCCTCCTCCTCTGTCAACCACTGCTGTTGTTACTAACACACAAAGTGAGGCTGAATTCGGGCAGGGTGTCAACTCCCAGGGTGGGGTGCACAGGCAAGTGACAGGGCAGAGGTTCAAGAATAAAAACTTACTGCTTTATGAAAGGCAAACACTAGTGCTGCACTAAGCTATCTCCTGCTCTTGAAAGCCCTCCAGCTTTAGGAAATGGTTATGTGGAAGGATTAAACATGGTAAAATAGTGAGATTATTAAGGAAGAAGGTAACTAGGGGGAATCAGGAAGAACAGAACTCTGGAGTAAACATCCCTGTGTATCATTTGCATGTGTTAGGAACCTGTCCTGCTGAACTTTTTAAACCAGTCACTTATCAACTGCATTACATATGTTGTAAAAATCCCAAAACCAAAACAGACAAAAAAACCTGAAAAACACACAGAAGAGGATCCCATCCACATCACTAATTTTGCAGAGGCTTTTCAGAGCACAATATTGAAAGTCTAATAGAAAAAAAAATGCTAGTTTAGGCCTGAAGCACTAATTCTATCTGAAAATACTGTCTTATGGGAAAACATGACTTCTAATAATTTTGCACTGACCTTACATAGTAAAACACACAAATGAACAAGCACTCCTGGGAATCAATACTAGGTTCAATCCTGGGATACATCAGTACTGTTACAGAGCCAACAGACAAAGCCATCACTAGTCCAAGAGCCAGGCCATACCCATTACTCTCTGAACTAAAAGACAAACAGGACAATAACAAAAATGTAAAGAAGTTTAGAGGCACAATGGGCTCTGCAGTTTAAGTAATAAATGGCATGACAAACAGTCACAGTCATTCATATGGAAACAAGAAGAACTTCAGTTAAGAAGGTATTTCTTCAAGATCCTTTTTTAAAAAAAACAACGAAAAAAGAAAAATAGATTTGGCAAGTTATCTTCAAAAAGTGCAGACAAAGTATAGCTTAAAAGGGGACCAGCATTAAAAAGTTTTCCCCTAAAGAAAGAATTTTATGCTGATTCTGAGCATGTCAAGCATTCCTGACTTTCCAATGCACATTACAGTATAACATGTTTTGCATAAGGGAAATGGTGCCTGGTAAGACAAAGCTGTGCCTTGAAAATGGAGGGATCTTGTACCACTCCTCTGTTGTGAGAGACATCAGCAATTGGCAGAAACTGCTCCAGCAGGGTCACCAAAACTAATGCTTATGAGTAGGAGGCAAATGAACAATTCCCAAAGGAAAAGCAAAATGTCTAACAGGTCCACTGGGAACCCAGCAGATTGGTTTTTGGTGGGTTTGAGTTTTTGTTGTTCAGAACTCCTTTAGAAACACTTTGTATTCTATCTGCAGCATAAATATTTAACTAAACATCTTGTTTTGTTAGCCGTAATACCTTTATTTAGTGAAAAACCCACACAGCCCCCACGGATTTCAGCAGTTCAGCGTTTTTGAAAATGAGCTAGTAAAGTTCTCTGGTCCCTCAACAGCTGTCTCCATCAGATTTCCACCCATCACAGCCCAGAACAGCTCTATTTCAAAGGGCACTATGGGTATCTCTCTCAACAGAAGCATTAGTGTATCCCAGTAGCCTACATAATTCCTGCTGATATTTTTGGTGCTTGACACTTGACTGGCTTGGCAGAAGACTATCTCTCAAGAAACAGTGCCTTTTAGAATTTATTAGCAATTGAATAAAAATCAAAACACTATTCTTCTTGCTTCTGTCCTTTGTATTAAACGATGGAATAGTGCAAATGAGTTTTGCAGTGTTTCTTAACCAGCTGATTTCTTCCTCTAATCCTACACATTATCTGCATAGTTTCTTTCCTATCAAGTGACACCTCTGTGACAGTAGCAGCGTTATACAGAGCTCCCAGTGCAGCCCATTTCTGCAATACAGTTAGTGACAAGCATCACAGGGGCCAGTCCCATTGCCAGGACAACACAGAACTGACAGGGGAGAGCCCCCTTCTTCATTAGTGAGACTTGAACCTCTCACAACGCAGCCATCCTTGGGTTTTGCTCTCAGCTGTGAAAGCTGAACTGCAGGATACTTTGGTGATTGCAATTTTGTGAGGAGTCGCTATGTTCTTCCCTGCTCACCTTTCTTAAACTTCAAGTTCCATCCTCCCTGAGAATAGGGCCAGAAGTAACAATTAAATTAGCAAATGTCTTCAGAGAAGAAAATTACATAGAATTTGTGTCCGGCTGCCAAAGTACATTTTGCTACACTAAAAACTTTCCCAGTATTCCTCATTTTGCAATCAAGATTCCCTCTGAACTCCATAAAGTGGATGGGATGAATGATGGGGAAAAGAATGATAAAGGGAGCAGCAGACATTTACTGCTCATGTCTTATCAAAGGAGGAGAACATTGAAATTTGAGCGTTTAGTGATGGTGTCCAATGGACAAAACTAGAGGAATAAGGCATCCTAATACTAGGGCTGCCACCTCCAGACGACTGAGTCCTTTTCCTCCAGTTGATTCAGGTTTGTGGCTATGAGCAATTCCTCCTACTTCTGGGAGAACATGAACTGTGGCAACATAAAGGAAAGTCCCAGCAGAAAACAGCATAGCAACTCCAGTGGCATTGACTTCTGAAAGGGCTTCTTTGCTGCTCTGAAACACAAAGAGCAGAAAAAGTGAGAATAAGCAGAAGTTCTTCAATCAGTAATAAAAAAAGCAGAAATCTCCCAGTATCCAGGAACAGTAGGCTCTCTGTCAAGTCTTGTCTCACAATGACAATGGTTTACTGTGATTTTTTTTTTGTGTCTTGCACCTTACATGTAACTGGCACCCTGAAGTTCTGGGGGAGCAGAAAGACACCCCTCCTGCTAGTTACTTCACTTTGGACTTACAAAAGAAAAAACCCTTACAAAAGAACCCTTAGAAAATGAAGAAAGTCACAGTCTGCATCTTGTTCAATCAGCTCACAGCCAATATAGCAAACAGATTTTGAAAAAACTAAAATTCATATTGCAAAGCCACAGATTTTAGGGAAGATCCTCAAGGCTGACTTTTTCCTCCCTTTTTCTAAACAAGGGGTTCAAATAAGATGTTAGACTTTAAATATCTTCTCTACTGCTCTTGGAAACTAAGTCCCAGAACATCACTCATTAAATACTTCATTTGTATGTAGAATTAAACATCCAAAACATTTCCAGGAGTTCCATGTGAACTTCATGAAGAAATGCATCTTCTGCATAACAGGATTAAGATATGCTACAGATCAGTAAATGCAATGAAATGCAAACCCACACATATCAGATTCAAATGCTTCTTCAATGCTTTCCAACTCAGGTGTAATCTTAACTCTTGTGTTTACTCCCAGGTCATTTTTCCAAACAGGAAGATACAAAACCATTGTGACAGCCCTGATGCCTTATCAATTCTCTGTTCTTTCTGAAGGGCAAAATGTAAACCCAACCCTTGATGAGGACACTTCAAAACAGTGCTCAAAGAGAATTCTCTTTTCTGTTTACAGACCCAACCTTTTTTTCTGCTGTCTTTTGCACTGTAATGTCAAATATAAATCCTATCCAGCAAGTAAAGGATTAGCCCAGATGATTTATTTAATCTTTCCTCTCATGCCTTGAGTTTCATGAGATCACGTTTTATCCTTTACAACACGCCACACCACGCATGTCACCAGCAGGACAAACAGCTCAGAAATACAGGAGCATCCCAGGATATGCTATGAGAAGCAGAAACATTTAATTTGGACAGAGATGATAAACTCATGTGCAGTGTCACTTCACAGGCCATTTGTTGTACAGACCAAAGACACACATGGAGTAAGGCACAAAGACTGTTCTAGCTGAGGACTCAACTTCTGACACAGACTTTGAATGTAGAGGACCACTTCTGGGATGGTGGAGGAAGCTAGAGGAGATTACTTCCTACCTACATATTAAAAGAAGAATGCATGCAACAATGCTGAAAATCACTTATTTAAATAGGCATCACATAAAACCTGCTATATGACTAAATTGTTCTCAGCGGGGAGCAGCAGAAAGGATAAAAACCAGAAATCAGACTATTAAAAAAAACTACATCAAACTCTATAAAGGAGTTATGTCACTGATTCTGATGTGAAATGCATGAATTATTATTTGGTTTCTGCATTCACACTGCTACCTTTTCATCAACTTTTCTTACATCTTCATTCTGCTGAATATCTCCAGCAGTTTGGAATTGTGTAATACGAAACTCATATCACAGTCCTTTCCCCAGACTTCACCACGAAGCAAGATTTTGGGCAGAACAAAACCATGGACTTACCTTGCTTAGCCCTAAGTATGTCACCATTGACAGAACAGGTGCTGCTAATGCAAAGACCAGCAAGTGTTTTCTGATTCGATTCCGTTCTAGCCCAGCGTGCATCAGGAAGGAAACCAGGCCAAAGGCAGCTGGTGCCTGCAAAAAACAACATTCACTGCTAACACAACACCTTCTAAAGCCCCCTGAAAAATGAGAAAAGCTTGAAATAGGACTTACTACACCCAAATGGACTGAATTGGAAGACATTCAGGGCGGGCACTAGCATGCTGCAGCTAACCCAAATTAGGAGCATTCTGCAGACTGCCCCACCTTAATAACCAAACCTAATGGAAACTCATGTTCTGGCTCTCTGAAAACATGTACTTGTGTAGCCATTATAAATACTACAATATTCATTCTGACTAGAGTCATTGCTATAACTCCTAAGACTCCATCAGCTTAGGTAATTTCATTTTCCATCCTGTTACTATCACACATCCTTAGACAGACAGTTTTTTCATCTGCAGTAGGAAAATTCTACAATTAACATGGGGAGGGAAACAATTGCCCAAAGATAGGTAAGAGTCAACCTGCATGTTAACAAAGACTTGAGTTCTTTTGATTAGTTCATTCCTGTTTTCACCAGGAACCAAACAAACACTTCCTTCTCCCTCTGCTGGCATCCAGTTTCTTATCCAAAAGGCATAGATGCCCCACTATTCACGGAATTTACTATACTTTTGCTTGTATAAAAACAAAAGAAATCCACCCTGACATTTCCGAGGCAAGACATAAAACTAAAATACCCTAAGCATTTTTATACACAGAATATTTTTTTTTTTAAATAGAAGGAAATCATTAGTAAAAAAAATATGAGAAAGACAAAAGAATCAGACAGGATCAGAAGAACAGAAAAAAGACAGCAGAGAAGAAATAAGTTTCTCTTCTATTACCAAATATTCACAGGAGAAATATTCCTCCTCTAAAATTGTACCATTAAAGAAGTCAGTTAAGAACATTAAGAATAACAAAAGCAAGTTTCACCTGGCAATAGCTGTAACTTAAGCTCCAAGACGAGACAGTGACATTGCCACCCTCAAAGTTATGTAAACCACAATTACTTGTATGAACATTGAAGAAAAGACATGATATGCATTTCCTACCATTTTGAACATGTAATTATGTATGATTTCTGCTATGAATTTGACTAACCACTGCAATCTGTGCATGTGCTACCATAAGGCAAATTTCATCTGCACAGGTATGTTTAGAGCCTGCATATCCAATAGGTTCACATTCACACAAGTATTTAGCAAAGATCTCTCCATCTTCAAGATCCACTCTTTGCTTGTTACCATCAGCAAAACATTTGTTTTCCTACAAAAATGGTATATGAGTGATGTCGAAGCTACTACAACAGAGGTAACGAGAAGTTAATTGTTGTAATTTAGTACTCTGATATCCAGTGGTTTCACGAGACTAACCCTTTAAACACTAAAACCCTTCACAACAAATATTCTGCCCCATTTCTGATGAACATCACAGAACCAAGACTGTTGTAATCAGCATGAAACTGCTTTTCCTCCAAATGCACTAGCATATATTTCTGTGCCTCACCCTTTAGAGCTTCTCTGAATGTGTCTCTTACTGCAATAACAACCTTGGGTCTTTTGTTTGTTAAACAAACACTACCATACCAGCTTCAGAAGAAGTCAGTGTAAAGCTGACACATTTCTTCAAGAGCTACTCTTCCCCTCTACTTTTGGGAGACTTTTCCCAACCTCTGCAATCAAGGCAGACAGCAGGCAGTCAGAACTGTCTCTCACTTGCACCCCACTCAGACTTAGCATCAATCATGTGCTCTTCTGTCATACCTCATACCCGTGATTTCTGGTCCTTGACACTGTACTAACCTCTCCATTGCAAAGGCATTAAACACTTCTGTATTACATCACTAATGAAACTGTAGATCTTTAGCAATTCCTGTGAGTGTTAACAGTCTTTTGAAGAACAAGTAAGATTTTTTTGATGATAACTCACCTTGTGCAACATGATCGCAACAAACACTATCAACTGGACACTAGTCTGAGAAGTAGAAGCTGCTGCACCCAGTGCAACACCATCAGCTGAAAAAGGAGTGCAGATTCACAGATTATTCTTCTGCATGAGCTCCCCCATCCCCTCAAAGGCTGACAGTAGAAAACATGTTGATTTAAGAAGCTCTACTACTGAAAATTGCCATTAACAATAGCAGCCCAACAGAGGATTCACTTGCCTTTGTTTGTTAAGCCATAACATTTCAGAATATCAGAAAACCCTCAACAAGAACTGTCTCATATTTCCCAAGACCATAAAAACCATAATGGGAATCTACTCTGTATTGACACATTCCTTCAAATTAGAACAAGTAACAAGTTTAGTTGTTTTAGTCTTCTATACTAGAAGGGATTTCCCCTCTAATTAAAAACTCTGGTTTAGATACTAAGCATTGCAAGAATTTTAATTATTACCCTTTAAATGATTTTTCAAATATAAATACTATTGTAAATATTTTTTATCACTTACAATAAATACACTGTCTAAACGAAATAAAAAATGAATACTATAGCACTCCTTAATATATACACACTTTTTTGGTGAAGAAGTATCTTTTTGATCAACATCTTCTGACTTATGTAGACAACAACCTTCAGCAGGACATGAAAGAGCAACCATATTTATTCTATACATATATAGTGAAAAATCACAATGTGAACATGGCTTGACTGTAACACACACGTAACAGTCAATCCTTGCAAATCAGCCTAAATGTGTTTCAGTCAAGTCTTTGTGCTCCACCTTATAAAGTCCTTTTTTTTCCTACAAGGTACTATTGTTTTAAATTAGTATTTTTTTAAAAACCATCAACCAACAAGCAAATCCAAAGATGTTTCATACAACTTATCAAATCTATTAGCGTGTATTGAAATTTAGCAGCTAAAGGAGTCAGTAAAAGAACTGAAGAGGCAGAGAGTGAGCATCACACAGCCTTTCAGATGGAAAAAACAAGAGAAGAGTAAAGAGTAAAAGAGAAAATTCTGCACCCAATAAAACTTCATGAACCATCTGAGCTCCTAGTTAATTCTGGGAAAGATCCTTAGTTCTCCCTGCTTTTTTTTTCCTCTTTCTTTCTTTTATAAAAAAGCAAAACCCAAATGTCTCCATCACACATAAAGATGACCCACACACCAATACATACACTTGTCAAGCACTAACACTAGGTCCCACATTACCTGCAGCATGGACTACTAGTCCCAGTGTTGTGGTGATTTTGGAGTTGCCTGATCTTGCAGTTTCTGGATCTGAAACAGTAATGAGAACAGTTATGATAAAGAGATTAAATGAATAAATTATGCTAGAAAAAATATTGCAAGTATCACTGTACACATCTCCCCCAGCTGCTTAGGCAGCTGTATTCAAGACTACCAGCTACTGTATTTCCGCATTAGATTTACTGCAAAGTAGTTTGACACTTAACACCTTCAAGTCACCTGAAGTTCTGCTAACAAACAAGTGACAGACTCATGGACAATTCTTTGCAATTTGCAGGATCCCTCTGATAGGCAGAAGCAGATGATTTTCTTAACCTCCTAAAATGAAATGTTAAAGGTCTGTGCCACCACGAAAAACAAAAGCTATTTTGGATCCCAAGAATTTAGAGCTGCTTCAAGAGTCAGGATGATTTTTCCCCACACAGCTCAAGGTTTGTAGTTTCCTTCAGGTGACAGTCTGGGTCAGTTTTTGTTGCAGTGATTCCCTGGCAGTTGCTAGTAAACAACATAGTCTACTTGTCACAGCACCAGTTGCAAAGATTTTCCTTTGATGTTATACACCACAAAGGAGAAATGCAGCCAGAGCTGTTTGAGATCCACTGTTTTGACCAGAATTACCTGACATTTGCAGGTTAGCTCATTATGCAGCACAACAGGACAACATCAATATCCACCACTACACCATCAGTGGTGAAACCATTACAAAGAATCACTGCAGGGTGGGTAAGCCCTACAAAGTGTAGAAACATCTGATTATTCAGCTGTTTAATATCAGACAGTTTGAACAGCCATGACTGAATTATCCCAGTGGTCTGTACAACAGCTGCAAGCACACCTGCAGTAAGTCTGCAGTGATGCCAAAACAGAAATTCCAGTCCTTTTCTTTCCTCCTGCCTTGCCCTTTACCCCTCAAGTCTCTCTTCATTCCCAGGCACACATGTAGTTTCCCAATGAGTCAGATCTAAACTAATGCATCCTCTTTGGTCATCTTCTGAATGAAGGGGAAACCATGTGAGTAATTTATTGCATAAGCTGCACTTGCATGACAGCAATGGTGTACTCATGTCAAATGGGAGGAGATACAAAAAAACATTTCCTTTACAATTGTTTTGGATTGACTATTACTAAAAACAAAGAATCACATTTGACTTCAAACCTTCATTTTGGCTTACTGAATTTTTCTAGTTTAGACAAAGTAACATCCAGTCACTTGGTACACAAACTACAAGACACTGATTGGTTCAAGAGAAAAGTGTTTTTCTTCAGTCGCTTTAAAAAACATTACAAAAACACTGCTACATCTCCTGTGACAGGTAGAGGCTAGATAAAACTTCATATTCTACTTTATGGGGTGTATCTCTAACACAGATCACAGTCTTCTCCTGGTATTTGCTATGATCAGAGACACAGAAAAGGGTCATAACCATACAAACCAAGAATCCTTTGGGAAATTGCTCACCTGTATGTCCCTGCCACCCTCATTGCCAGTGTTTCTTTAGAACAGCTCTGCAAATCAGCTACCCATGGCTGTGGCTCCATTTACACTTCTTCAGGAGTACACAACTGCCATAGTCCCTGCACTGGCCTTTCATCTGTCCCACCACAGTATCCCCATACAAACAAGCTGCACTGTGAACTGACAGGAATCCAGCCAAAACATGTCCCCCTGCCTTTGTATGTGCTTTACTTTTCCTTTAAGATCAATTCCTTATTTTTTCAGGGCCAAATTCCAGCATCAGAGGACATTGTGTGGAAAAAAATGAGCAGCCAAAGGCAATAAAATACTTTTTCAAACAAAAGAACACCTTTGGTGCATTTCAAGCTACACTCTGAGCATGAAGTCACAGGCAGGAAACAAAGGCAACTGTAGGCATTTTTAGAGTCTTGCACAAAGCTCACAAATCTTTACATAAAGCAAGAAGTATTTTGAAGTATGTGAGGCTCTAGACTAGTGTGGGAGGTCCAGCTATGCAGTTAAAGTACCAGAGCTTAATTCTAATCATTCCTGCCATCTTGCTTAAGATAACTTGCAGTTCTTTGCACATTTTACTTACATATATAACAATTAAGTAAGAAAAACAAACAAATATAAGACTAACCTGAAGTTTTTTGAAAAGCCAAAGAAATGCCCTATGGGTGATACTGTAAAACAGACAGTAACTCAAGTGTCAAGTCACCCTCCACCCCCACAGCACATGTGCTCATACATGTTATTGAGGCAAGCTCTCAAATTATGGTGAATTCTGAGATAGATTTCCAGCATAAGCATTTCACATGGACCTTGCTTTATGTTTTATGTTTTTAAAGTACCTACTGAAACTCTGGACATGACTGGACAAATTACACCCTGGTAGCATTAGGGAAAAAAAAAAAAAAGGCAACTTGTTAATTAAGACTAATTAGCAAGCCTAATTGAAGTGATTCTTTACTTACCATCTGTAGAGTGCACATGAGAGCTGCCTATCTGATCCACCAAGAGCATGAAGACAAAGCCGAGAACAAGGGACACACCGATGTAGGCGTGCAAGCGGGAATGGTCGTGGCCATGCTCGTGCACCGCTGGGATCTTCGCCACCTTCTCAGACTCCATCGCGTGCTGCATCTCGCTCGCTGGGTGATGCTTTCCTGTCACAGGCAAGCAAACACATCAGGAGGCTAAACAGGACATAGTCACTTCTTTCCTCCTCTGCCAAAAGCCTCCCTCACACTCTCCTGGACAATACACAGAAGTCCTTGGTTATGGTCTTTCTCAGGCAATTTTCTTAGCAAAGCCTGGTTGGTTTCTCCTCATACATCTTCAGCATGGAAAAGCAAAGAAAGCATTAATATGTTATAAACCAGCTTGCATTTTAAATACAAATTAATTCACAAAAATTGCTGTGTAATTCCTTTTTTAACTGAAGTTGCCTATTTTGTCCATATTCAGAGATACTGTCAAGCAGTTACTTCATTACCTTCATTTACAGGATGAGGAGATAAAATAGGTTCCATCCACTAAAAGATTTAATACCATCTTTAAGAAGATTAACTGATGCTGAGACATAAACAAGCTAGTATTGATACACCCCATTGATACAGACTACAACAATAGCTAAGTCAGGCACACTGACCTACAGATGTCTACATGTCCCAGAAACCCAAAGTCCAAGCACTGGGGATGAATGATGCGTGGTTTCCTCTCCCTACACAAGCTATTAAAGCTTGTCTGTAGGAATGTGCCTTTTATTGACAGAGCTGCAAAACTATCTTTTGGGGTTTTTTTTTAAAAAGGAAAGAAGCCCAAAAGTTTCTCTTATCGATTAGGTGAAAAGCTACTTTAGAAACTTCACTTTAAACTTAAGGGTAGCTAAGAGCTAAAAAGTCCTGCTTGGGCAATTTACTAGAAAGGGATGTAAACAAATAAACTAATTCCTTTTGTGAAGTGTTTTACCAGGAGCAAGATCTCTTGCACCTATAAACACAGAAACTAATTGCTTTTGTGAAGTGTTTTACCAGGAGCAAGATCTCTTGCACCTGGCTCAGTTTTTTCTGTTTGTTATTTTGCCTTTTATTAAACCTTTTTGTTTCCAACACTGCAGCAGAAGCCATCCTGCTTATTTTCATGCCTCCAAAAGTAGCTATCTTAAGTGTATTATATTCCTCCAAAAGCTTATTAGACAGCTCAAAAAGAATAATATAATACTTGCCCATGTGTTTTTCATTTTTAGGTCTTTTGGATGGCAACTACTCTTCAGAAGTTTCAAAAGCTTATACCAAGAACTTGACTTACTCTAGCAAGTCATTGTCTTGCTGGAATATTCATACATCCTCTTGGATGAGACAAGTGTACGTTCATCTCACTACACAAAATGTCATAATGCCATTACTACAGTCAAAGCACATCAGAATAAGCTTGGTAGCAAAGATTTCACACAGATCTTTGCTGAACAAGATTGATCAATAAAACTACTTTGGACCACACAAGATCTTTGCCATCTATATTATGAAGTTGACTTTGCTTCAGATCATTTCAAGCCATAGAACTAACTGTATAACTCAGGGCAATCTTTCTGACAGGGATTATACAGTTTCAGCAGTTAAAATAAAGGACTGAAGCCAGCAAAGGAATTTTATTTGCTGGTAGCACCCAAACCAAGGTTTCACTACACAGGTTTATAATCAAAGAATAATCCAAGTCATGATATGCTATTTGCCCTCAGCCCACAAGGTTGAAAATCAGAAGTTATTTATTCCATGGCCTGCTTACCCATAGGTAAATACAGAAGTACCAGTAAAGAACTTCTGTATCAATGGAAAACACTAAAATGCTTGCTAGCAAGCAACCAGTCAGAGTTAAGCTACACCTGAAAGAGGGAAAGCAAAGATTTCTCTTTTTGTTTTTCCAATTATATGAATATACCTCAATGTTCCCCTTCTTCTAGGTTTAATTATGTAAATAGGTGAACTTGAAAAAAAAGAGAAAGCTGTTCTCACAGTCTTAAGTTTAATTTTGAATATCTTACTTTTCTAGGAAAAATATTAGAAATAATTTTTGTAGTTACATCTGTAATACCCATTAATTCTGTCCCTTAGCAATATAAAAAAGTTCAGATGGACTGTTGTTAGACACAATACTGCGAGTTAGACATCGAGTCTGAAGCCATTCACAAGCTCCTTTTTTTTGTCCTAGGTAAATACTTCTGCTATTACTACTGCAGTACTGTGAAGTGTCCTTTTGCCACACACTACACAAAGTTGCAGCCCATACAGCCCTACACAGCAAGCTGTGGAGTCATACATGAACAGTATGCCCCATTTGGTGAAAAAGTGTTAAAATCTGCAAATATTCACAGCAATTGTATTCATTGCTGGCTGTTCCATTACAAGAGAAAATCACTCTACCCAGAATTAAAACTAAATGGAGAGCAAACCCACTACAGCTCATTAGAGACATCTGACATCAGAGTGCACAAATTATAGTACAGTAAAAGGCATAATCACAGCTTCTTTCACTTCTTGATAAAGGATGATTTTATCTATTACCTTCTATTTATTCTAAATCTAAGCAGAACAACATAAATTTAGTGGAAACTAAAACAGTATACATTAAAGCATATTGCTAAAATGAAATTTAGAAGTTTAGAAACAAAACCCAGTACTACAGGAAAAGCAAAGGACTACAGTTGCCTTTCAATCCCAGATTAGCAACAACAGCACACGAGATGTTTGCAAGGTTCTCTACAGCCTCAACTTCACAGTGCTTTCCCCTGCAATCAGTAAGCCATTGCTGTTTACCTTCAGAGTTTTGATTTTGAGTGTACTGGAAAAATCTCATACATGCAATGGTCATCTAATAGCACAAGTCTGCAAGCAAAAGCAAAATTTTGCACTCCAAACAGAGGTGATGAGCCCTGGCTATTCGAAACAATGTCATAACCTCAGTTTGAGGTCTGTTAAGGCTCTTGGCTGTAAGACATGCTCCACACAAACATCCCTGCAAGACACAATCTCTGCTCACTTTGAGCTCTTCATTAGAGTTGATGAGGTGGTTACAACAATGACAGGAGACTAAAACTGGATGCTTGAACACAGAGATTTAGATGTGTAATGTATACCACTACCCAAGAAGAAACGCCTGTTACTCTGTAAATTAGCCATAACTATGTGGCTATATAACCATAATATATAACCATAATTTTCAACTAAGTACATTAATTCCAAGATGTTTTTCAGCTTCAGAAGAAATTCTTATTAGGGCAGGGACACAGATTTGTAAAACACCTCCTGCAATTGCTTTAATGAGAAGCAGCCTACACTACAAAGAGAAGCAGCCGATACTCCATAATTTCATTCTCTGCCAAAGGCACCCTTACACTCCCTTTGAAGTTCCAGTGGAAGCTAAACTCTCCCCAGAAAACACAGAAAAAAGAAACACTACAGATGACCTGTCATAAAAGGCTGTTATTCCATGAACAGTATAGTATCCAGACCCACAAATGACTGGGTAACTCAGCAAGAGTCATCGATCTGCAGTCTGCTCATATCCCTCAACGTGCAGTATCATGCCTATGGTAGTTTTGCATTTCTATGCCTGCTTTGTGTCATGCTGCTGTGAAGCTCTTCCATCAATCTCTTCTTAAAAATTCCAAAAAGAAGCCTCAGTATATCATAACACACTACAATCTAATTTATCTTGAATGAGGCCATTTGGTTCTTACCCTCCAAAATGTCTTCATAAAGTGCATGTACTCCTTCTGGCACAATGACAGCCAAGGCAGTTCCACACAGGAGCCCAGCACCCAGAACAGTCACCAACTTCAATCTCTCCTGCAATTAAGTACAAAACAAGTATCACCTTTAAGAATGAAAATGCTTTCTTTACTTTCTTTTATTAACAGAGGTTAGGGAAGGGGGTTACTTGTTACATAAACATTAAGAATCTGCAATTAAACCTTAACAACAATATATAAACCTAATGTTTTTATAATAAAGAACAATAGTTTTATTCATATTTTTGGAATAATTTCTATAACAAAAATAAAATCCACACATAGTTTTTCAATACTTGCTACTATTAGAGTTATCTTCCTAGTTATATTCTAGTTTGGGGCAAAAAGCTCAGCTATGTCTTCCTCCTAAACTAATTACATTCGGTTTCACCAATAAATTCATCCTTCTGACTATGCTGACAGGCTAAAGTCAAAGCCACGTACTAAAATCCAATTACACAAACATAAAGTAGGGTCTAAAATATGACAGTTGGCAGAGGCCATTACTCAACTCCTCTAAGAACCCCTATCACATGACATGCAGCAACCATGGGGGTTTAGATCCTCCTAAAAACTGTGCGGCACACATTCAGTGGCAGAATCATCATCATCTTCCACATTCAATGAGAAGCCTGAGCACTACCAAAACACTAATGTTAACTGCTGAGGACCTAGAGACAGAGATCAGCATTTGAATAGCAGGAAACCACTTGTTGCATATCATCATTATGCCATCCACTCTCCTTCATGCACTGTAACCACACAAACTGTTCAGTCTCACTGAAATGTGCAGCACTTGCACAGAAGCAGGAGGCACTAGGAGAAGCACAACCAGCTTCCTGAAAGCAAGCCAAACCTGACCACAGGGAACAACTGCAGCACTACTGGAGAAAACTCCAACAGCAATGCAAGAGACTCAGACTCAACTCAGTAATATGCAAGAGATGAAAACAAGTGTAAAGTTCCCACAACCATGCACTGTATACTTGCACATACAATAATTACACTTGGTAAATTGTCATACAGTGGCAATCTACACAAGAAAATAAACTGTCAACATCTGCTGTTCATAAAGTAATTCTGCAAAAATATAGTAACATACAAGGAAAAAATAATTATTTTTATCTGCAACACTGCAGTATTTTTTGCATACACACATAAACACAGAGGAAAGTGTCAGAAGTAATACTGATTTATTACAACTGCAAATACATAGTATAGCTTGCCTTCACTTGGACATCTGTGAATTTTAAAGATCACTGAAAGAACAAGTTATTGTTTCAAGGTAAGTTTCCATCTCCTTTTCAGTACAAAATAGCTAGGTGTAGTGAAGACAGAAATGTAATAAGAACAGCCTACACAGAGAGGCAAAAGGAATACACTTTTATAGGAGAAATCAAACTATTTCTGCTAAATACATGTGCCTGTTAAAAAAACAAGCGCAACACAGTAAGCAACGCTAAAACTCCATGCAGCCCTCTGACTTGATGGGAGACAAAGGCACATTTCTCCTTCAGCACCTTGCTTCCCAAGAGAAATGGGAACCCCTCATAAGAGTGCTCTTACTACCACAGTACAACTAAACTCTCGCTACACCATGCCTCTAAAAAAGAGCCATCGTTTAGAAAGAGCAAAACCCCTCGGGTATGGGAGGATATCAGGAAACCTACAGAGACCGTGACAACTGCCACCACCTCAACAACTATTTCTTAGAAGTACACAAAGATGTTTAATCAGGAACTCCTGTACTGTTTGGGAACTCACACAATCTCTGAAACCCTCCCTCTCCTTTAACAGTACCTTACTTATCCAAGATATTTTTCTGAAAGAATGCCTTGAGTTACACGGGGCAGGAACTTGAAGTTCTATAGTAACCAAAGAGCCAAGGTTTAATTTTCAACAGTGCAAGCTGTGAGTAAAATTGTGAATCAAAGTTTTTCCGAGAATATTATTGGAATTGTTTTTAAAGGCCTTCATTTGAGTAGCCCACAGGCACGTAAGAGATAATCACTGACTTCAGCCATTTCTTACACAAGCTTCTAAGAATAGCCATGCTTATTCGTGTCCTTACACTACGTGCCGAGATTTCGCTTCACCTGTAGCAGAGACTCGACTCAAATCTGACAAGTTCAAACGGCCACTGTGAAACAAGCATAATTTTTACACGGCAGTTTCGAATGAAAATTAATATTGCACTTATAACTTTTAAAAATAAAGCTTCATCCTTAACAGCGTTGCCGTATTGCAAGGGGACGGCACCAGCTCCTGCTAGCAGATCTCCCTGGTTTCTCCTTTAGCAACGAACGAGTTTGCCTTACCTCGGAAAAATTAACTGCCAAGGGTATGATTCCTGCCACATAGCAGGCGATCAGCATGGCCAGGGACAGCAGGCAGATGGAGGGGAAGTCATCCATTTCGCCGCTTTCTGTCCGCTCCCTTGAAGTGAAATCCAACAGCAACTTTTCCACCTCTCCCCACCGCACGCCTTAACCCGTGCACACACGGAGCTCCCAGGAGAGGCGTTCAGCCATGTCTCTCTCTCCCGGCGGCAGCGGCCGGCTCGGCCCCCAGCCGGGGGTGCGCGGCCAGGGGCGGGAGCGGCTCGGCCCCCGGCAGGCGGGCCCGGCCCTCACCTGAGGCGGGGGAACTTTCACCCGCACCGTGCTGCTCACAGGGGAGGCGGCAGGGAGGGCTGTGGGAGAGCGAACACTCGGGCGGCTCCTCACGGCGCGGCAGCCTCAGGCGGGGCCGAGGGCACGGCGGGGAACCGGCGCTGCCAGCGCGCACCCACGGCCGCGGCCCCGGCGGCCAAGTGGCACCTCGGCGCTTCCCCTTCCGGGCCGCGCCCGCCCCGCCCCGCGCGCTGCCCCACTCCAAGATGGCGGGCGGCGCCTCGGCCCGCGATGGGCAGCGAGCGGCTCCCGCAACAAAGATGGCGACGGCCGCGCCCCGCCCCCGCCAGCCTGGCCGTCGGCCTTGCGGGCGCGTGCGCGCGCGGCGCTCTGGCGCGAGCGGCTCTATGGTGGCGGCCGTTGGCGCGGCGGCGCTTCCGGCGGGCGCGGGGGCCTGTGGGGGATCGCCGCGCGCCACTTCTGCCCGGCGGTGCTGAGGGAGCGGAGCCGCCATGGTGAGAACGGAACGGAACGGGACGGGACGGATCGCCGCGTTTCGCGCACACCGCGCCCGCCAGGGCAGCCTTCCCTTCCCCTCCTCTCCCTGTCCCCCGGGTCACTGCGGGCGGGAAGGCCGCGGCCGGTGGTGCGGGCCCGGGCGGGCGGCTGCACGTTTTGGCGGGGCAGGGCCGGACGGGGCGGGGGCACAAAGGCGGCGGCGGCGCTCGGGGAGCGGCGCGATGAGGCTCCCGCCCCTCTCCCCGGCAGCTTCGGCGCCTTCTCAGGGCGCCGCTGGAAGCCCAGCGCATTCCCGCGAGTGTCGCCCGTCGAGCGAGCCGGCCTTAAATGGCTGATTCGCGCTCTCCGTGCTGCTCTCCCTGCTCCTCCCCTCTGCTCGGAGCAGGGAGAGGCGGGAGCTTGCGCTGGTGGGCTCTGGGAACGGCACGCTGAAGCTCAAAGGCCTCGCTATCAACGCGGTTTGTTGCGTTGATCTAATAAATGAAGATGTGCTGAAGCAAGTTGTTGCTGTGCAGTGGGAGGACAGCTGCTTGTCGGCTTGCAGCGAAGTTCCTTATCTGCCTGGCTCTTGCTCCAGTGCAGTTGGCTTCGGCCATGATGAGCCCTGTCCCTGTTGGCCAGAATGGAAGGTGGTCCTGAGACCACTTTTTCTGCCTGCCATGTAGATGTCTGCAGTGTGCTACTGGTTGGTATTTGTAGACCACTTTTTCTGCAGTGTGCTACTGGTTGGTATTTGCATCACTGCACATCTTACCCTTACAATATGTGTTTATCTTCCACTTTTATTGTTTCGGAGCTTTTTTTCCTTTCCACTTTATTGTCAGGTACCCGACAATTGGTGGAAGCCTCTTTGGGCAGATGCTGCGTGGCTTTTAAGTCCTTCTGGTTTGGCTCTTGGCACTGCCTTAACCAGTTTTACAGGGTTCTGCGTTCAGTAGCAGGAGCAGTTTCTAAAGCGCTGTCTAGAAATTTGAAATTGGTATAATATAAACCATGTGGTGTCTCATTCTGTGTCCTGCTTCAAAGCAGCCAGTACAACTGTGCTTTTAAGGAAAATGCAAAGAAATTCAACATATGTATGATAATAACTGTCCATATTGGGCTTCTCCAGGTAACTGGTGCTAATGCAGAAAGGTTTGTGGATCTTGCCTTGTTTTGGTCATGTCACCAAGGCTCACGGGGCAGGTCATAGTCAGAGGGGACTTCCCTCAGGCTTCTGAACTTGTCATTTTTTTGTACCTACATGGTAGGACAGGACCAGCAATTTTATCAAATCAAATTTTTTTTCCTTTAAAGTAAAATAATGTCAAGTTCCCAAATAAATGTTTGGAAAGCATTAATTCTACAATACTTGTGATCCAATGGTATTAATTTAAATATTTTTCTGAGCCAGTATCTGATAATAGATATTGTATAATGTCTGAAGTGATAACTGGCTTAAAGTCAGAAGCCCAGATGATTTCTGCTGTGAAGTTCTGAAGGAACTGGCTTACATGTGTGGCTCACTGATTTTTCTATAATCCGATTACTTGGATAATTTCAGAATTCATACATTCATTTAGCACTCCTCAGTGACCATCTAATTAAAATGATGGTGCTGGAAAAATTATTTTATGGAAATCTTTGGCAGTTATTTGGACTCCCTGCCAAGACATGCCTGTTCAAGTACAATGCACTTAGGAACAGCCAGATAGCAGCCCCCCCTTGGGAAATTCCCTTCAAATCAATCATCCTCTGGCATACATGAAAGTGGATTTAAATGATCTACTCTCCTTTATATGATTTTTGTTGTTACAGTATGCAGCTCAGAATTCCCCTTTTTTCTATTTCTGATTAGGAAAAGTCTTGCTGCTTCTTTTTCTCTGTGTAACATTTTCCTGAGCTTCTCAGAATCTGCTACTGCTGTGTTGAGACAATTTAAAGAACTGAAAACTATTCCAAGGATGGGAACACTGTCAGTTATGGGATAAGAATTTGTCCTGTTGTTTGGGTTGTTTTTCCATTGCATCCTAACATTTGCCATTTCTATTTTCTGTCACTGCTTTTCATGAGCACTGAATTCGTATATTCACTGGTTTCCAAAGTATGGGTCAGGATTTTTCTGTCAGCCACTGGTTAATCTGAGCCAAACGATGTCTTACCCTGCAGTTGCCCCTGGGCTGTGTGCTCACCTCGTATATTGGCACTGAAAATGTAGGACCCAACTAGCAGCACTGCAAACGGCCATTTGCAGCCTGCTTGCAAACTTTCTGTGTGTGCAGCCTGTTAATCAGATCACAGATTGTGTACACTTTAAAAATCTTGCTTCTTTGCTCAAATTACTTGCTGTAGCCAAGTGAAAAATGTTGTGGAAATAATGGAAGCCACAGAGTGTACAATCATCTAAGCTTTCCCTGCAGAAGAACAAGCTTATGGACTCCAACATTTGGAACAGTTTTCTGTGCCATAATTACTGTTTAAGTAAACTCATTCAAGTGGGAAAAGCCAGTACATCTGTTTTGCAAGAACTAATCTTGAGTGCTAAGTGCAGATTTTGTATCATTGATGTTCCCTTGAAGTTAAATCAATAACTCAAAATAGCTAACTTAGTTGAAATCTTTCAGGTGAGACTGACAGTGTGGTTAAGTTTGGTCCCCTCATTGCTCTTTAATTGGAGCATGGAACATTTTACTAACAGACTGCATTTGGAATAAAATAATTAAATGCACTAATGCCACAGCTCTTATACATTGGCTTTATTGCTTGTCTTTCTAAATAGAAACTGTTTCTGTGGTATTTTTTTTCAACACAATAGCTGCTTTCCTGGTGATTCTATACATTTTAAACTTCCATAAGGATTGATAGGACTTGTTGGAAACAAAACTTACTAACACAGCTTATATAAATAGTAAATGCTATGTGGAAAATGCCTGTGTCCTTGATTGCTAGTCTAATATTTTACTATTACACTTCTTTTTACTCCTTCTTTCATATAAATAACCTAATTCAAACAAAAATCATTCAAAGTGTGCAAGTAACCTGTATTTTTGTGCTTGTTGTGTTTTCCAGTCTCACACAATTCTGCTTGTCCAGCCTACCAAGAGGCCAGAAGGCAGAACATATGCTGATTATGAGTCAGTGAATGAATGCATGGAAGGTGGGTGGATGCAGGCATGGGAGTTAAAAACTGTTGTTAAATCCTATTTTTGACATATTCACAAACTTAGTAAGGAAATAAGTTGCTCTTCATGTTTTTCAAAGGTAATTCACAAAAACCCTCATGCTTTTAGCTTACTCATGTTCTAGCAAACTAAAACTAGTTATTATTTGTTTCTAAAACTTCCCTTTTTCTATTAAATGTCTGGTTTTTTTTAACTAGATGAAAGCACATCCAGTTTGGGAGATTAGATGATATTCTTTCTGGGCCCATGCAGCAGACTTGTTGCAATGCATTTCATTGCAGGATCAGCACTTAATTCTCACTCTTCTTTTCTTAGCATTGTAAGGCAAAGATTGCTGCTGCAAATACTACATTAAATAAAGGATTGTGTGCAATTGGTACATAACTTGCAGTTTCATGGCACATGTGCCAGAGTAAAGATCCTGCAAAACTTAGATACACATAATGAGCATGAAAAGAAGATTGAAATATTAGAGCTGTAGTTCACTTAACATTAATCTTGCAGGAGGTTTTGTGAGGCAAACAAAAGTATAACCAAGACCATGTAAACTCTCTGTGCCCATTTTAATATTACATCCTTCTCAAGTCTATCTGAATTATTAGTGGACTAGTTCAAATAAATAAAAGTGCTTTAAATGTGTATGCAGCTTTGTGCTGTCACTCTTACCTCAGTACCCAGTTTGACTCTTGGATCAATAATGGTCATTCTTATGAGTTCTTCTGTTTCTCGAGTGTTTGTGCAGTAAGAGTATATGTTCTCATTGCTGTCTTAAAATTATTAGGAGTTCCAGATGTCCTTTGGAAAGTTACATGTTTGACAGAACTAAAACTTTTTCCCCTAGATGATGAAAGCTTTGCTTTCCATGTATCTTACGTGGTTTTATAGTATTATGTTTCAGTACAAATTGCTAGGAACAAAAGAATTTCAGCTCTAGAAAATTTGGTTGCTTTTACAGTGATAATCTCTAAACTTTTATTTGTGGATCAAGAGCTGAAAAAGTTTCAGCTCAGTCTTTTAATATTGCATGGTTAATCTTGTTTCTCTGTAGGAGTCTGTAAAATGTATGAAGAGCATCTGAAGAGAATGAATCCCAACAGTCCATCCATTACATATGATATCAGCCAGTTGTTTGACTTCATTGATGACTTGGCAGACCTCAGCTGTCTTGTGTAAGTTCACTTGTACAAGTCCATTTCAGTGACTTAGGAAAGTCACAAGTGTTCCCTCTAAACTCTTCTGTGTGAGTTTAACATGATGCTGTTTTGTGTGGTTTTTAGCAGTAACTGTGGTGCAGCAGTATTGCAGCTCCCTAGCAAGTTGCCCATTCCAATTAAGTGCATAGATACAAGGTACCTCTAAAGAAGGCTTAGAAACTAAGAGTTCCACTTGGATTTTACTCACATTGAAGCCAACTGAAATCCAACAGTTAATGACAGCTGACTATTTTATTACTACTAGAATCTCTTTAAATTTCTCTTTGTGCTGTTGGTACAGTTCCTCAGGAGCCAGAATGCTTACAGATTTTTTTTTTCAGCTGAGG